AATTTCTAATGATGTCTTTTGCGCTGACCAATGCACCAGTTGTATTTATGGATTTGATGAATCGGATCTTTCGTGAGTTTTTAGACCGCTTTGTGGTCGTCTTTGTGGACGACGTCTTGATTTACTCACCCTCTGAAGAGGAACATGAAGAACACTTACGGGTAGTACTTGAGTTACTTAGAGCCCACAAGCTGTATGCTAAGTTTGGGAAACATGAGTTCTAGTTGAAAGAGGTTATGTTCTCAGGCTATGTGGTATCCAAAGAAGGGGTGACTATAGACTCATCCAAGATAGAAGCAGTTCAAGATTGGGAACAACCTAAGAATGCCTTCGAGATCCGTAGTTTCTTGGGATTGGCTGGGTATTACTGCCAATTTGTGAAGAATTTTTTTGGACTAGCCTCACTTTTGACTAGATTAACGAGGAAAGGAGTTAAGTTTATGTGGAGTGAGACCGGCGAGAAATCATTCCAAGAGCTTAAGGTTAGACTCACCATTATTCTAGTCTTGATTATTCTAGAGAAGGGTTTAAGCTATTCGGTATATTGTGATACCTCACGGGAAGGTTTGGGTTGTGTTTTGATGCAAGAGGGAAAGGTAATGGCTTATGGCTCGTGGCAGTTGAAAACACATGAGAGGAATTACCCTACTCACAACCTAGAGTTGGCAGCAATGATTTTTGCCTTAAAGATTTAGAGGCATTACCTTTATAGTGAGAAGTTTTAGGTGTTTTTCGATCACAAGAGTCTGAAGTATCTGTTTACGTAAAAAGACTTGAATTTGAGGCAGATGAGGTGGATGGAGTTCATAGAGAACTATGATTTTGAGTTGTATTATCATCCGGGAAAGGGCCAATGTTGTAGCCGACGCCTTGAGTAGGAAGTCAATTAGTAGTATAGCTTGTATCGCAGTTCGAGAATGGGATATGTTGGGTACCCTTGGTGAGTTTAACTTGCATTTGGGCAAGTCTGTTGAGTCTGTTGGGGGACGAAATTCTCTAAGGGGGGAGGTTATAACGATTCTGATTTTGACCCGTCACTTATTGTATTTCGGACTCGGGTTTATGGTTTCTGAATGTTGTTCATTGTCTTTTCCTCTTTATTCCTCCTTAAATTTTGGTTATTTAGACGTGTTGAGTGCGTTTGGAACATGTTGGTTGCTTGGTTTTCAAACCTTGCGTTGCCCAAAAATTTGGTCCTCCTCACGAGTGACCCTTTTTGCACTCGAGTGAGAAATGCAAACTCTTAGTACTTTGCACGTCTGCAAAAGACTAGAGGGGTGTTTTCCACGCTCAAGCGGCGTTTCCTATACTCGAGCTGGTGGGCGCTTGAACAACCCTTCTTGAGCTCGAGTGGTTTGTCTGTTGTCTGCAAAAGTACTGGAGGTGTGTATTCTGCGCTTGAGCGGAACAAATTTTTGTGTCTGATGCTTGAACGTCAACTCTTCCGCTTGAGCGGACTGTGCATATATTAGATCGCAAAAATGACATTTTAAATCACTTTTTCGTTCTTCTCTCTCTAAAACTTTCCAAAAACCTAGATCTTAACTCTCTCTCTCTAAAACACTCTCTGTCTCTCTACATTTGGCCTAAATCCTTTGGGTTCTCTACCCTATTATCTTTGAAAAAAAGTTAGAACATTCCAAGAGCTTCATTTTGATCCGATTAGAACTTGGTCTCGGCCTTGTTAAGGGTTTTACCTTACTTTGCTTGGTCTTCTCTTCTTGAGGTAGGGATTTTCTACACTTTAATATGATTTTTAACTTGGTTATTTGTCATTGTATAACAATGGTGGGATTTGAGATTAATGTGAACAAACCTAGGGTTTGGGTGTAAAATGGAAAGAGGGGTTTTTGGTGAATGAGAGATAAATGATTGTAGGGTTTGAAAATGATGTTTTATGGTGTCAAAATTGTTGATTTTGGTACTTGGTTGAGACTTAGGAAGAGAGAGAGTTTGCCCTAAAATGATTATCATAATTGAGTAGATGATATGCCTCATCTTTGGAAATTTTAAATAAATTATATGTCTTGAGATTGTATATCTGTTTAGAAATAACTGTGTTGGGCTATTGATGGAGGATAGCTATGATTGTTGTAGAAATTGCATAAGAATTAAATGAATTAGAACTAATCCATGGTTGGTTATCATTGAATATGATCATGTTGTAAATACATTGTATATGTATGATTGTTCGAGAGGAGAAAGATGATGTACTCCATGTATGATTATGTGTTTAAATACATTGTATATGTATAATTGTTTTGGAGGAGAAATGGGATGTACTCCACTGTTTGGGAGGAGAAAGGGGATGGACTCCATTATAATCAAGTTGGCTGAAGTTTCCTGGGTGAAAGTTTTGAAATTTATACATGGGTGCCGATCCAGCGGACGAAATTTTCGTAAAATGATAGATTGAAATGTTTGTGTGGTAATTGTGTGACTGTGGAACCATTGAGTTGTAATCTCAATTGAGTTATTAAAAGATAATACAATTGGCTCATGTGTTGAGATGAATTGAATGAGAATGGATTGAAGATTTGGATTTGGTACCTTTTGACTATATAAAATATGAATGTTTTGTTACAAACATTGTTTATGCATATTGTACTTATATCTTTTTTAAATCTCATATATTATGCTAGATTATTTTTACTGGGCTGTGGCTCACCCTATTTAGGAACAATATTTTTAGGTGCTGGTGACATGCCTTCACCAAGGTAGTAGCTTGGAGGAAGTTTGGAGTAAGAGCTTCATGTTTGTAGTGTTTATTTTGTGTAGCCAAGGGCTTAAGTTGTATTGAGTTAAGACTTTTCCTTTTGTCGTAACCAAGCAACATCTTGGAAAAATATAAGTCCGTAAGACATTTATTTTGTTGATTATCAACTGTTATTACATGCTATAGATTCAGGATGAACATTTATGAATGTATATTGTATGTGTTATCTTTTGTAATGCAAACTCTGATGAATGAAAGCATTTTGTTTCTATTATCCTTCCACTTATGAGTTGGGTTCATTATATTATTTTGGGGCGTCACAGTAGTAATCCTTCACTACGAAGGGGTTAGCAAAACATGAAAACACATACGATCCAATCCCATGGGAGACGGGTAATTTAATCACAATCAATTAATACCACCACATTACTATACAAACAAACATACTTTAACTTATATTAACAATTTAATATCATCACATTACTATTTTTCTTATTCAATTTCACTATACTTATAATCTCATAAAACTTAATCCGTAAAACAAACGTGACCGGTAGATTTTGGGTCCCTCATTATCTAAAAAAAATAAAATGATATTGAGTCTCAGATTTTAGCCAAAAATAAATTGTATGGTAGAGATTGAAATTGTGTATTGTGGGGTTGGTGTATAGAATAAATTTGAATTACATGTTGATATTCTCGATGAATTTTAGATATATTTTTTTCTGGTTTTGTAGCATCCCTCTTAAAATTTAGATAAAATACTAGTTTTATAATTTTTATATAGTTAATGGGTTTGGTTTCTTTCAAATTGTCATCTCAATTTGAAAGAGCGTTTAGGTTTGTTAGGCTCATTTTGAAACTGATTCTGGTGATTTGAACCGTTAATTTTTTTGAATTTGTTGAATAGAATATTTATACAAAAAATCAATATGATTGGATATCGGTAGCTATATATTTGAATCATATTTATTTTTTAAAAAATAAATGACAAATATAATTTTAAGAACAAATATTTTTTTTTTGTAATACAAATTTGATTCAAATATATATTTATCATTGTCTGATCATCTTAATTTTTTTCATGAATATTCTACTCAATGAGTCTTAAAATATGAATGGTTTGAATAATCGAAACGAAACATATGGTTGGCTTTACGGGTCTCTTAAGTTCTCTCATGTTGAAATGTAAATATAAAAGAAGCGTACCCCATAATTATATTTACTTACTTTTTAGTAAGATTAATGAAATCAAAATTAATATAAATTGAATGAAAACATAAAAATATATAAGGTAAAATATATATTTTAATATAAAAATGATAAAAAAGGACCAAATGTTGTATAGATTAAAAGCTTATGAAAATTTGGTATAATTATATTAAAATTGTAAGACTTATTATAATTTTATAAAATTTTAGTAGAGAGAATGTATTTCAACCTAATTTTTTTTTATCATTTTATATTATTAAATCGTGTTATTTTTAGTTTATGTCATGTTAACATGATAGGTCAAAAAAAAAAAATTTTGAATTTATAAGTTAAATTTAATGAAATTGGTATCTACTAAATAAAATTATTCACAAAATTATTTTATTTTTATTCATTTTTGTTTTTTTAATTTACATAATATATATATTTTTTAGATCAATGATTTACATAATATTATATCATATTATTGTAATTATTTCACTATATTAACTTTAAAATAGTTAATAAAATATACACTATTTTCAATTAAAAAAATTAGGGTTAATTATATATATATATATATATATATTCCAAGTTTTACAAAATTTTCACTTTAAAGTTCAATGTTTCACTTTCGACAAATTAAACCTTGAAGTTTCATTCGTGTTTCAATTTGTTTCATTCGTCCATATCCGTCTGTGTAAGATAATGAAAGGGGTTTAAAGTGAAAAATACTGAAATTTAAAGTGAAAAATAAGTAAAATTTTAAAGTTTTTTTGTGTAATTAATCATTTTTAAAAAAACCAAAAAACTAAAAATAAAAAAAGATTAATTACAAAATAAATCTAAAATTTTCACGTATTTTTCACTTTAAATTTCAGTTATTTTCACTTTAAACTCCTTACGTAATCTTACACAAACCAAAATGGATAAAAAAAACAAATTAAAATACAAATAAAACTTGAAAATTTTAATTTATCAAAATTAAAATATTAAAATTTAAAATAAAAAACATTCGAAATCTTGAGAATTTTCATATAATTTACTAAAAAAACTATATTAACCTTTTCCCGGTCGGGCCACTCGAACCGCGCAAAACCGTTCGTCAATGCACTTCAATTGACAAAACCCCCCGATTTAGGGTTTATGGGTTGTTTGTTTGTGCTCTCTCTCGCTTCATGTTTAATAGTATCTTCTTCTCTCATTGACAAGCCACACATACACGTCAATTCGAGCTTGTGAATTTGAATCACACACACACACACAACAGAGTGTTCTTCAATGGAGATTAGTTTGGGTAAGCTTCCATTCGACCTCGATTTTCATCCTTCTAACCCTCTCGTCGCCGCCGGCCTCATCACCGGCGATCTTCTTCTGTAAGTTTTCATTTTTCTTGTAGAATTGTTGCTGTATTCATTAATCTCAAAGTCTCTGATCGATTGAATCTTATGATTTTTAGATATCGCTACGCCGCCGATTCACCGCCTCAAAGGTAACCTAATGTTATCTCATTTTTATCTTACTATGAGTTGTTCTAATTCAGCTATATGAATAATTGAAACCCTAGATTCAGCAGTCGTGGAAAAATTGTGCTTATGTTCGTTTTTGATCGTTTTAGGCTTTTGGAAGTTCATGCCCATAGTGAATCTTGTAGGGCCCTTCGATTCATCAACGAGGGTCGTGGTAATGCATCTAACTATATGCTTTTCATTTCATTTTATTTTGATTTCAGTGGAAAGTTAAGTTTTTTGTATACAAACAGTCGCTGAGTTTTGTTCTTTTGTGGTTAGCAATTGTCACGGGGTCTCCGGATTGCTCCATTCTTTCGACGGACGTTGAAACAGGATCTGCAATTGCTCGTCTTGAAAGCTCTCATGGGTGGGAATTTAATTGTTAATTTATGCTAGTTCTGTGTTAGTTTTAGGAAATTTCACTAGCTATGTTGTTCGTATGCAGGGCTGCTGTCAATCGAATAATCAGCTTGTCAGAGTCAACCATTGCATCTGGAGATGATGAAGGGTGTATTAAGGTATCCTTTCTTAACTTAAACATTTTTTGTAAAGAAGTTTATGACTTCCAATTCTCCCAGTTGAAAATCAAATTTCTCCCGTGAGGGAATTTTTAAATGAGCAAAGGCATATTTTAACTTCAAAATGCATCTCATGGTTGTCAACATTTTGATGGTTTAGTCATTTGGATATCTAGTGATGTCCTAGGCAATAGTGACCTTAGGTTTCTATTTTTTTTATACTTCTCATTATTTTGTAATTTTGTATGCCAACTTCAGCAGAAAGTCAAACTTGTGAACATTATGATTCTATATAACATTGTAATTTGTAAGAACAAAAATAATGCTATTTTTCTCCCTTGAGGTGTTCCATGATTTTAGTTTAACTGTTTATGGTAATGACCCTATGGAGTGCTGGAGAAACTTAATCTTAATTTGTTTGCTTACACCTTTATTTCTTCATTTTCACTTTAATGCAGGTTTGGGATACCAGGCAGCGTACTTGCTGCAACTCTTTTGATGTTCATGAAGAATACATTTCAGATATGACTTTGGCATCTGATTCCATAAGACTATTGGGAACAAGGTACTCAATCTATATATTTATTTATATTGGTGGGTACGCATGTTCAATGCATTCTCTAGTTATTAGCCATGTGCACTTCTTCCATCTAAGGATATGAGTAAATAAGTGATTATCACCAAGACCAATCTCTTATCATCCATGACTTGAGATAAGATACTGCTTCTATGCAAATTGCTAAGATATGGTTATGTGCACTTATTTTGGAACATCTATGTGCTATCAGAAGGATATGGGACTACAAATAAATTAGGTAGAGCGGCGTTTCTTCATGCACTGGATGATAGCACTAGGAATGTTATGCTAGTGGGTGAGTAAGTCACATATCCTACATGGTTCCCTTGCTCATGTCGTGTCATCTTCTGTCTTAGATGGATAATCTTCTTATATAGAAATGCCCGTATAATGTGAGGCAATGTGAAGACTTTATTTTTTCGTCCTTTTGAACTATATGGTTTTTGCTACTATATACATATAGAAAAGTGTTGATTTGCAACATGCATGTCCAATTGTTTATTAGTCATATCATGTGGCTAATTTTGTGTGAGGACTGGCTCATGAACATTGTTAGGGGATATTGTTTGCAGATCCTTGCCAGCCATAATATTGCCCAGTTCCATGCATTTAGGGAAGTTGACATTCTCTATTGATTTATTTCAGATTTGATGGTGAAATTTTAGGGTGTGGGGAATACTATATCCACCATATTGTGAGTGGAATTGAGGTCCCAGTGGGGCTTCAAGCAATTGTAATATGCTCAATTATTTGGAAGGCTCTCATGGAGTTGACAGTGACTGTGAATTAAGTACATATGACTCCTGTTCGTGAGACACTTGTAGAGATGTTTTGTGCACATCCAAGGAAGTCAAATGACAATATCTATGTAATATGTATGCAAAACGGTTGCTAGAGGATATCATTAATCTCCTGTATTTCATATATTCAGTTTTCTTTCTCGTGTGTTTGTGCTATATTCAATCTCTGTTCAGAAGAAAGGAGGGATATATTCTCCAAGTATATTACTAAATGGCTTTTTTTTGCTTCCAGGCTGCATTTCATTTTTTTGGCAGTTCCATATTGAAAAACTTTATGATATTTTTGTTTTATTTTATTTAACTTATTTTCTTTAACATTGTTAAGTGGAGATGGGACTCTCTCTGTTTGCAATCTTCGGAGCAACAAGGTATTTTCGTTGGATTGCTCCATGTGGTTTGTTTGATTCAAGATATATTGTGCTTAAACATTTCATGTCAATTAATATATATTTTACTGGTTGATCCATCTTCTATATTCTAATTGCAGGTTCAAACTCGCTCTGAATTTTCTGAAGACGAGCTGCTTTCTGTGTTAATCATGAAGGTAATTTATCTCTCTCTCTATACATATGAAGTACGCAATGTGTACTTTCTTATCTTCCCTATTGTCTCTATTTTCTTGAACTGTGTGTTTATGCACACATTTCTTTGGCAACATGTATTGCACATGAGTGACATGATATTTATGGAGACATGTTTCTCTGTGAACATGTATTGCACACGTAATGCTTTTAGATATCAGGTGTGGTATCAAGGTGGTGTGCCATCATATATTTTCTTTTTGTGGTACTAAACCTGCCAAATGTGTGCTACCTTTAATTCTTGTCGGTGTTCCATTCCTACTGAACATGTTATGAGATAAAAATGTTATCAACAAACATATTAAATTTTGTCTGGAAAAGAACTGTTTTGTCCTTCTAATTCTTCTATTTAATGTCAGGCTTATACTGAACTGAAACAAAGGAAAAAAACTAAGCTTCCTCAACTAATTTTATCGAATCCAACAAAATCCAATGGAAGAACATTGGTCATAGCACCTGACTGTGTTCGTTTATATGTATTCTATTTTCTATGCTGACTATTAATTTGTTGTGATCAGAATGGTCGAAAAGTTATATGTGGGACGCAAACTGGAACTCTTCTATTATATTCATGGGGTTTTTTCAAGGACTGCAGGTAATCCATATTTAATGTGTATATGTTTAGTGCTGCAAAATGGATATAGATGAGGGTCCTGTTCCTGTCCACGGTGGGGAAGATTTTGAATCAGTAGGAATTTTATGTTTTCATTTTTTCAACTTTTAATGTTCTTGTTGTGGGATGATTCTTCTTGTTTTTCAGTGACCGCTTTGTCGATCTATCCCCAAACTCTATTGATGCTTTGTTAAAGGTGAGTGTCTAAATCTTTATTGTCTTGATCTTGCTGGTTCTCAAATCAATGCTGGTTAACTGAAAACTAAGACTCTCTAACTGCCTGTGTTAGCTTGATGAAGATAGAGTTATTACTGGATCTGAGAATGGGCTCATTAGGTGAGAATATTCTCTGGCGGGATAAGGTTTATTCCTTTATTTTAAACTCTTTCATTTTTTATAGTTCCTAATATTCTCTTGTTTTTGTGCTTAGCCTGGTAGGCATATTACCCAACAGAATAATACAGCCAATTGCGGAGCATTCAGAATATCCTATCGAGCGTCTTGGTATGGATTTGCTTTCTTTTCTAGCAAGGAATGTCAAAACCCTTGAGGCTTATTTTTGTAGGACTACTCTACCTCCAGATATCACTGGGACTATCAGAAAAGTGATTATATTTTGGGTGATATTCCTATTCATAATTTCTCTCCCTAAAAGGAACTTTCTATATAGCCTACAGTTTATATCATCTAACATAGTTTTTTTTTTTTGGTGCCAAATGGTTGGCTATGACCGATGGGTGTCTATATGGATATTTATGTATGTTAGAGCATCCCCAACATTTTACTTAAATTTTACCCTAAAATATTATGAAAAATTCATTCCCTATTTTAGGAATCACTTTTTTATTTACTTCTCCCAACAAACTCCCTATTCTTTCTCCATTATATTAAAATAATAAATTTAATTGATTGGACATAATGGAGCAGTTTATCCAGATGAGGAAGAGGCTGCATTCCTTCGTTCTCTTGGTTGGGAGGAAAATGATGGAGAAAAAGATGGCCTTGCGGAGGAGGAGATCAATGCATTTTAGATCAACCCCACTTCCCACTTCCCACCTCCAACACACACACACACACACACACACACACACACACACAAGAAGAAAAACAAAACAAAACAAAAAATGTGCAGTTTAGTAATTTCATATCATCTTGTTGCAAACTCAACCCAAATTGACTGTGTCAAACTTAAATCTGGTTTTTGGTCTCACCCCAGGGGTAAGGAGTGTAAGTTTACTAATCAGGGAATATGTAAACCTGTATGAAGTTGGCCTTTAAACACCCAGATTAACACACAACAGTGCATATTTTTCCTGCTTTCTATTATCTGCCTTGATCTAAATATCTGAGTTACTCCAATCACGTGGCTGCTCTCTCAGTTTTGTATAAACAGAACCAGTTAAACAGAGCAGTTTGGTATAAACAGAGCAGTTTTGATGTCATCTGGCTGGACGTCCGGCCGGTCAACCCACTGGACGTCTGGTCCCTTGTCTAGCTGCTGTGTTCGCCTGCTGCGTTGCTGCTGTTCTGTTTGTTGTTCTTCTGCTGTTTTGGGCATGCAATAGAATAGAAGAAGTAGGGTTTAGATTGGGAACAACACAAAGAAAATACATTCCAGAAATTGCCTTCAGTGATGATGATGGCGAGAAAGAGCGACCTACACTAGTGAAAGAGATTCTTGAGAGAGTCTTGGGCTGAGTTTTGGCGCCCTCCAGTTTCCCTTTGTGCCTTCTGCTGCAATAAAATAAGAATTTATCAATATGAGGGAGCTACAGTGACTCCCTACAAATAGGGAGTGACTGTAGCAACACTTATTTTTTGGGGGTTGGATAAGGGAACTGCTGGGGCTGTTTGTTGACAACAAAACTCCTTATTTTGGCTAAAAAGGTAATATAAGGGTACTGCTGGGGATGCTCTTAGATACTTAAACAATTAGGAAAGGGGCCCAACAATGCGTATCAAGCTCCCCAACATGCACCTTCCCTTACAACCCCATCTTGCACGTGAAATGCAAACATCCAAACATGTAGAGAAATAGAATGTAAACAGTGAAACAAATGAACATGAAGATATTTAAATCCAAGACGTTCTCCTAACCTGAACTTTGATAATATGTAATAGCATAGCACCACTAGTTCCAAAAGCTTAAGCCATAAGCTGTTTGAAAAGGGCCCCAACAATGCATATTAAGCTCTCTAACAATATGTATATATGCTATGCCATTGGCAATTTTTTAAAAATCTTCATCTGCATCATTCGCTGATGCTGTCCCTTCTCAAGTTGGACCACTTCTTATTAAATTGTTTGTTTGGTCTGCAGCATTTTCTCATGATAAAAAGTTTCTGGGCAGTATATCACATGATCACACATTGAAGGTTTGTGGATCTCTCTCTCTGTGGTGGCTAGAAGGGTTTTTTTGACAGTATCTCTCAACTATATACATTTTCTCCATGTAGCTATGGGATATGGATGATTTACTGCAAGGTTCTGGAAATCCTGTGAAGAGTCGTTCGGCTGTTGCAGACAGTGATAGTGATGAGGCGGATGAAATGGATATGGATGATACTCTTCCAAAATCTTCCCAAGGTATATTGTATAATTTCAAATTTATGTGACAATTTCTGGAAAAAAAATAAGTTGCGTCTTCCTACCATAAGCTGTAGGCATGAAATGAATATCTGTGGCAGTAGAAATAGATGCTAGCAATTGAATGAGGTTTTCTTCCCCTCATATTGCGGAAAAAGAGAACTTCATAATATCAGATGGTCCAGATAATCATCTAAATTATTTAACCACATAATTCTCAGTTTACTCCAACCATTAGGTCATTTAGTTCAACCATGATTCTTTCATGAAACTCAACTTTCTGGGCCTCTAGCTATGAGTCTTTTCAATTTGCACATTGCATAGACATTTAATTAACTTGATTTGACAATGCCTCACACCCAAACAAGCTGCTAGTTTTAGGAATTCTCTCTTTTTAGCTCTAATATATCCATATATATTGTGCAATTTTTTATATGTTTATTTTTTCAATTTTATTTTTTATTTTTTCTGTTTGAATACTGAGGGGATGAAACTGGCAAAAATGTTTTGCTCATAATACTTTCTTTGAAGAACAGGATGTTATGGCTTAAGTTGCAAACTGATAAAATGTTCTTCGCTAGATACTAAAGGGTAGGATTCAGACCCAACCCATGCGTAGTTTCATTTAGTACATGGCTATAGAAAAAAGGGTAACATAAATAAATTAGTTATCCATTTTGTGCAGTTTATGTGATTGTTCTTGGATGTTATCTACTTCCCAAAAAAGTGATTAAAATGTGAAAATGAAGTTATCAACTCATGAATGATTTGTCTCCTTGCAAACTACCAAAAGACACCTGTCAATTTTTGAGTTTATTATCACTTCCTTAGGTTTGCTGGTAATATACCAAGAGAATCTACAACTTGACAGTAAACTTATCTGGATTGCCTCCATAATGTGTATATATCTATTTTTCTAGGCAAGAAAATATTTGCAAGTCAGCATAGCACACAGAAACTGTACATGTCTAAATATATCTCGTGCCTTGACCTTTTACATTCTTGTTTTGTCTTTGCAGGGACCAAGAGGAACAATTCAAATAAAGATCAAGGACTCAGCAGTTCTAACAACTTTTTTGCAGATTTGGATTAAATCATTAGCATTGCTCTTTTACAATTTTGGTAATCTGATGATGATTGGCCCTGACGAGATATAGATATGCATGGCAATGTTTATCGTTTTAGCTGACGAGACCGGATGAAAGAGGCATTAGCTTTCACTATGAATGGATGGTGTTGCTTGAGCAACTTCAAGTACTGTTTGGCTGGTGGTCTTCTCATTCTTCGACTATAATATATGTTTTTCTTGGAAAAACTTTAGATTCTTTTCATTTTTGAATGGCTGTCACTTGCAGTGCATCTTCATAATTTGAAATGTAGTATAGATTTAAACGTGTATTTGTGCTAGAAATGAAACAAGTGAAATTGATTTAGACCGCCTTGTGCCATTTTTGAAGCAAAGATATATGAAAATATGGAGAAACTAATTCTGGAGTTCCCCACATGTTTTAAAAAAATTAAAAAACAGTTACTAGCTCAGAATTGGCTTTCAAATCCATTTAAAGCAAAAGCATGTCAATTCAATTCTAAGCCATGTTGATTGGCTTTGAAAATAAGTTTGCTATGGACTAAAAATTATTGTGTTGAATTTAGTAGCTATAGTTCTCACCTCCGACTCACACGCAGGGAGAGAGAGGATTTGAGATTGACTCATAATTCGGATATATTTTGAAATTCAACAATCTTTGAGTTTGGCTTTTACTCGGCAGCCTTAGGTATATACTAGTTTAGATCATTTGGCCGAGTATAACAGTAATCTAAGTATACTGGTTTAGATCACTTGGAGCCATTTGATTGCATAAGTAAAATTTTAGAATTAGAGAGTACCACCACAAGAGGAATGCTTCTACAAAAACATCACAAATTATGAGAGTCAAGTCATATATATCATGATTCTCAAAAAAAAAAAAGAAAAAACATATATATCACTATTAAAGTCACTTCTCACAATTCTGCTTAAATTTCAAATACTTAATTAACACCAACTTCATAAAGAATTGGAATTTTTAACAACTCAAGTGAAACAAAACTCTGTTAGAAAAAGACATTGAACGCAGATACCAAACCCTTCCTTTCTAGAAAAACTGACTCACTGAGATGCAGAGAACACCATATCTCCCTCCCAGATGGAGCAAAGGAAATATGCTTGAAAATCCAGCCACAAATTCAATCATCCTGAAGAAATCCGCATGACATTACATGCATCAACAAAAATCTTGCTCCCTGACAAACATTGGATCCAGCTACTGATCAATCCGTTCGTTGTGTCCCATTAGAAACCAATAAGGACTGATTTTCTCGATCGGTATTTACTCGGCTACAATAGACTGTGTCTTCACTTCCATATTTGTCATCCGAAAATGAGGTTTGGATGGAAACACAAAAACAGAGGATGCGGCAATGGAAGGTTGAAATCCAGCTGAGTATCTTACTGAGGTCACTGTGACTATGGGAAGCTGTAGAGAACCTGAGGCCAATGGAACAAGCTTGTAACCAATGACATGGTCAGACTTTGGCAAAATGAAAACCGTGCCGTTATGGGACCCAGATAACACAAAACTCTGTGAATCTGCCAATGAGAACTTGATCTCTTGAAGCAGCTCTGTTTGATTCTGAATTCTGACAAAGTATGTGAAGGGGTTGCCAAGGATGGCATGAGGAGGACACTCCAAATTCACAACCAATGGAGACAATTCTACATTTGTGTCAGGAAGTCTATGTTTGGTCAATACCTCAGATGGTTGCTCCGTGGGCCCAGAAGCTCTTCTCCATCTTAGGCACACTGTCCCCATTTTAAGCTTCGACATATTTACCTTGGGAATGACAGAGAAAACCTTCTTGAACTCTTCTCCAAGCACGAGGAGTGCAGAGTCTGAAGAGTCCTCAGCCCCGTGTTGCACTGTGCAAGACTTTCCAATGTCATCATCGTCAACCTCAATAAACATTGATAGTAACTGTAATGGCACTTCCGTGCTGTTCTTAGCAGTAACAATGAGTATACTAGTTTCATTTAGAGGCAGCGATGCCATCTGATCAGAATCAGGACCTGGCTTGATCTTTGAGAACAACAGTGGGTCCCGTCTGAACGGCAACATATACTGATGGCTAAATACAACAGCAGTCTTGCCTTCTATCTCCAAGCTTTTGTGGACATTAACTTTTTGTGCATTAGGTTCACTGCTATGTGGAGAGTAGCCCAATGACACGTAAAGCATGACTGGTTTAGGACGATACCATTTGATTTCTAAGTTGCAGGACCATGAGTCTCCCTCATTTAGAAATGGAACAGAAATCAATCCAAAAGAGTGCTGAATTTTCCGGATGTTGTCGTCTTCGGATTCTGGTCCAGATACACCAAGAAGCTCAACGTGAAGATTGTCTGTAGAAAATGGTTCTACTTCCCTCGGACTAAGCAAGCCGCCACCTCTTGTATCCACAAGGTTAATCTTCAATTCGCCAGAGTGGACAGCGTGGCCCTTAGCTGAAATAGTAATGGGTATGGCAAAGATCTCTCCGACTAATGCAGGGCCAGAAACACCTAGTTGAAGATCGACTAGCGGGTCTGGTTCTTCAACCTGAGTAGCCTTTTGACCGGAGAATGAAAGACCAGGATCCTTGGTTGGAAAAGTTTCCACACGGTCTTCAAACTTCCAAAGTGGTAAATCATTCATTGAGGCAGGGCTTTCAGCCCTGCAACAGATTGTGAAGTGAGGTCCTAGCTTTGCAATTACAGAAACGCATTCAAGCTTTCCACTTTGGTCTGCAACAGTCAAGTTGTTATGTTACAACACAAGTTACACTATGAAAACAAGCACAATGATTCTACAAGTTCCTTGCATGATGGAAGTGCATAAAATGAGGACTTGAGCATGTTAAGCAATGGTCTAAAGGCAATTGCTAATCAATTTGGTGGAAGAGAATGGTGATTAAACTCGCTCAGACTGTTGGTACAGTCCTAAACCCTAAATCCTAAAGCATGCAATTGTGCAACCATAGTATTTGGAAATACTGGACAGAAACTAGCTTCACATTTTCCAGAAAAATAATAATCATAAATGAACAAATATTATACTACTGAAGCACAACCAATCTTGACTTAAACTTCCCATTTCACAGCCAGAACAAGTTTTTTTTCTTCCTTTGGGAAGGTTCCATTTCACAACCAGAAGGGGTTTGATGCAGAAAGAAAGCCATGGAAAAAGAATCTGGGTCATTAATTTCTTTCATATCTTGTAAGATTCAAATTGGGAAGTAAATACCAAATGATCATGCAGTTGCATATCAAACAACCACAAGCCAGGCCCAACAAAGTTTGACTGAGATCAAATGACTTCCTTTTCTAGGATGGTCTGGGCCCATGCGATTCACTGGTTCAAAACCTCCAAGGGGGAACCGATAAGTGACATAATGCTGGAAATGTACACCACATGAGCACTAAAAAAGAACCACCCACATACCAATCTAGAAGTGAGTAACTGGCTTACCAGATTTGATGTCGTATGTTAACCGCAACCATTTGTTTGTGGAAAGCATCAGAGCAGGAGCAGTCTCAACTCTGTGACCTGGCTGAACATTGGAGATTGCAGCTGACTGAGGTCTCTGACCATTCACAATAGTAAAATTACACACAGATTGATTGAACTGGATTTCTAACTGATCGATCTCCACAGTATGCGGTAATTGTGATAGAAATGACAGTGTAAGCAAAGTGGGTGCTCCAGGCTTAACTATCTGTTCATGGAAAGCAACCGATGCAAGAAGTACCACTCTAAGTGGACTGACAAGATCAATCTCAAGATGAAGGGGTTGATCACCAGTTACTCTGACACTATTGTTTTCTTCATTTGATGCCAAACCTGATTCTCCTCTGACAAGCTCAAAGACTTCCTTGTGTATGATTTCTCTCTGTGAGAGGCTTGCAGGGCCAGCGGGGCCACATTCCTTAGAACTTAAAGATTGGACACCAGCAATAGATACTGGCAAAGCAGCCATTTCAAGGGAGTACTCTACAAAATCTTTCACCGAACCAAGTGTCCTTGAGCACTCCCGCAGATAACCCAAGACCTCCCATAATAAAGTGACCCACCCCTCCTTTCTATAAAGACTTGCAATACTATCAAAAAGCAGTTTTGCATTACCGAATTCATTCACAGAAAAATATTCCCTTGCCATCTTGAACTCACAATAAGAGGCCATCCTCTGGGCTTTGAAATTAGTGTATGATTCAAAAGATTTTTTGAGCAGAGCAATAATTTCGAAGGAATCCTGGAACCTCTTCCCTTCGGCTAGAGCATAACGGACATATTCTTCATCAGTAATACTACAAAGCCAAATGGTAAATATCAGCATTTGCAGAGTATACAAGACAAACCAAAGGATATAATTCTAGAAAACAATATTCTACGCTTACGGTTGCATAGTATATGTATCCCCTTGCTCAAGTAATCGAGCAAACTGACCCACGTAAACAGAAGGTGCAACAGATTCAGCATTACCATCAATGTCACTAGCTGTTTCTGACATTGACAGAGTAAGTTCAAAGCAAGACCTCTTCTCCTTCAAGTAGTGAGCAGCTAACTGTTTCAAGATGAAATGTCAAGACATACTACAAATAATTGAAATATAAAAGTTTCTTGACTCTACATTATCAATCAAGTCCACGCATCCCCCTGCATGAGAGGGAGGATTGTGACCCTAATTTCACCAGTCATTCCCAACTATCTAATACATAAGTGAAGCCACAGAAGGATTCTAACTAACAAACTATCCTAACCAGATGACTGAATCATCCAACAGCTGCAATCATTTACCCCTGCCACCCCCGTGGATTCACAAAAGTCTATGTTCAAAGGTCGTCTAAATAGTTGAACTATGTGATGATAAAAGGATTGGAAAGGTTCACTTATGAGAATGAAATAAAAAACAAAGAGAAACAAAAAAAGAAGGGGGTAAATCTTAACCTAACTAGAATGGAAAATTTAATACTGGTATTAATTAACAATTACAAGAAGCATGGGTTGAAATGAACTTCAGCAGCTTTTACGAGAGAACTGATCATTTATACTTAAGATAAAAAATCTACTAGTTATTTAATTACAAAACCCATTAACTAGGGCCACATAAATAACATAAAATAAAAAGATCGGATCATGAATACTAGGCTTATTAGCCAAAAGTGCTAAATTTCTTTACAATCATACAGCCACAACTCTACACCTAAGTAAACAATTCGGGTGCTGGAGCAAGAGCTTTATATTATATAGTTTTTATTTAAATATTATGATATGAATTCTATATAATAAAATAAAAAGAAAATGCTTAATCTCAAGCCAACTTGGCTTTGTGGTAAGCACTTGATACTTGGCATCCAAAGTTTTTTACACCCAGTTTCTGTTGTTCTCATGCAGATGCTCATGCATCACCATGAGCGGAATGTGATACATGATTCATCAATGGTGAAATAGATACAATGTTTGCAGGTCCACCACACAATGGTGCAATAAAAAAACTGAAGATATGATAAACTTGAAATACGCTGCTTTGACTAATCTCAATCAGCACCCCAAAAAAAAAAAAAAGGAATCGTGGATTTGGCACAAATTCACTCACAATGCGCCGGACTGTAAACTAGAATGCTGAGTACAATGCTATTTGTATGGATTAGGTGACTAAGTTCTCCATTGCTCAAATAATGCAAATATAAAAGCTCATGGGCACAAAACAACTATTGGAGACAAGATGCTACTTTGACAATTAGAACACCAAGCACAATGCCATCTGTATGGATTAGGTAACTAAGTTCTCCATTGCTCAAATAATAACAAAATCTGATGCAAATATAAAAGCTCATGGGCACAAAATAACCGTTGGAGACAAGATATAGTTTGACAAGTCCCTGAGAAATAATTCCATGCAATCTCATTATCTTTGAGACCTGGTATTTGATCAATACAAAATTAAGCTGAAAATTAAAAAGGATGTTTTCCTCAACTGAGATGTCCATACAGATGATGCTTTGTTATCAAATCATCCTTAAAACACATTGTGAGTGATTAGAGGAGGCTCAATTGAGAGGTGGCAAAACACGTTAGAAGCACCAAAGAATTTGGTGGTGACTAGGTGAAAGTCAAAGTATCCTAGAGAGAGAGAGAGAGAGAGAGGCAGTGGAGTCTCTCTACTGTTGTGAGCTTAGAAACTCAAAGAGTGAAAGGGGGATAAAGGACAAGTACAACACTATTTCTAGAAGGCGGGCATATGTATGTAATTGCGTGTTTGGAAATGTAAAGTGATTGTTGGAGGAAAGCATTAGGCCATTAGAGACCTCATATGCTTCCTTTTGGCAAAAAACCTTGCCTTGGAGGCAAATGATCCAGTCTTCTTAAATGTCATATCCTTATAGGGAACACCAGAGTATGGAGAAGTCTCTCTTCCTCTGTTGGATTGGCAGAAGGCAGTTAGATGCATGAGGGGTAAATCACCGTGGCAATGCCAAGTCGTTCGGCATGCCTAGGCCGTGCCCCCAACCTATCTAAGAGACCCCAGGTGTCACCTAAATTCCTAACTCTCATGGCATGTTAGGAAAGTGCCTTGTCACGTCTCTACAAAAGTGTTTTGACTGAGGTACACTCTTAAGTACTATTGGCCTAAAGATAATTGTTGTGTAGTGACCTTTGCAGGCCACTTGGTAACTACAAAGATGTATCCCATGGCGGTCCCTATAGTGATGTGTAAGGTACACGTGCTGATGAGAATAGGACATATGGGAGGAGATCACCTCCCCACAAATGTAAATCATGAAGATGGTAGTAACGAGGAAGGTAAGCTGTATACCTGGTAATAATAAGCTGAAGAGAACTCCCATTCACTCAATTTATCTGTAGCAACGACTGTGCTTTGGATGGTAGCAGAGGTCATATCTAGCAACTCGGCCAATACCAAAAACTGCCTGCTCAACCATTCCCAATGAAGAAAATTAACTTCTGGCGCTCCCACTAGCCCCTTGTACGAAGTATTGTGTTGGTGGAACCATGTGATTGCTTCTACAACCTTTCCACCATGCAGTAGCAAGGTTAATATCTTGAAGTGTAATTGTTCGGCAACTGTTTTTATCTCAACTAACCGTTGAATTGCAGGTAATCTTGTTGATGTACCAATCATCTGTATATAAATTAAGAGCAAAAAACGAAGGGTTTATAACAATATAGAGTTTCATGGATAAGGACACATTGCAAAGCTCAATTTAGTCACAGATATATTCAAAATTCATCAGAACTTTGATACAAGTTTGATAAATAGAGTGACTAAATAATAATTGCAGTTACTTACTAAGCTATGCAGGGTCGATATCCGGTGTTTGTTTTGGAAGGATTGGGCATGAGATTGGACTATTAGTCTGGATGGATTAATAGTCCGTTGTTTGTTTCAAAAGTTTTGCTCCAGATTAATAGTCACTCCAGACTATTAGTCCCATATTTGTGGGACTATGAAAATTCAATAAAATTTAAATGTTTCAATTTAAAAATAAAATAATTTAATTTAATTTTTATTTTTATTTTTGTTTCATGTATTTAATTTTTAAAAATAATTTTTTATAGATGTTTTATTGATATTTTATTTTAAAATTCTGTTTATATTTTATTTAATTTCATTAATTAAATTTTAATAGATGTTTTATTTTATTTCATTATTTAATTATTATTATTATTTAAAATAAATTTATTTAAAATTTTAATTAAAAAATGACATATATTTTTATTGATATTTAATTTATTTAATTTTTTAAAAATAAATTTATTTAATTGTGCAAAAAATAAAATAAAACAAAACAAATTTTTATTTAATCTAGCTAAAAATAATTAAAATATTAAAGTTATGTTTAATATTGCTATTACTTAGTAAATAATTAAAAAGGATAAAATAGTCATTTGAGCATTATCCTTCTTCATAATATCCCAAACAAACATTGGATTCACTAAAAATAGTTCAATCTAGACATCTAATCGCATGACTAAACAAATATAAGATACAAATCCAATCCAGCCAAATAGTCCGGAAACAATGTATCTCAGGACTAATAGTCAGATAGATTATAATCCCCCCTTATCCAGTCCGTTCAAACAAACACACCCTAAATGTACAAAACAGGGAGCTGCAATGAAATTCAACTAATGATAGGAGGTTGGCCCAACTTTTTTTTTACATGACAATTTTAAAAACTAAAAGATGTGTATCAATGGGGACCACTTGTTGATACAAAGTATATTTTTTCAAAGCTGCTCTCAGTGATAACATTATCTGCAGGGAGAGCAAGAAAATTAAAAAGCTAAAAATAAAATAAAAAATAAATTTCCACGCTCATTCATCATTGAATTTTAAGAGTACAAAGTTTGTTACTATTTACTATCGCTATAACCATCTAAATTATGATCTATATAGTTATTAGCAATGACCTTCTGAATCAAATCTTACAATATCTTTTACATGAAAATTAAAAACCTGCGCCGCTCTCTATGTCATGACTCGAATGGTGCAGGGAGAGCAAGAAAATTAAAAAACTAAAAATAAAATAAAAAATAAATTTCCACGCTGATTCATCGTTGAATTTTAAGAGTACAAAGTTTGTTACTATTTACTATCGCTATAACCATCTAAATTATGATCTATATAGTTATTAGCAATGACCTTCTGAATCAAATCTTACAATATCTTTTACATGAAAATTAAAAACCTGCGCCGCTCTCTATGTCATGACTCGAATGGAAACTATCCTTTGTTTATTTGACAACTTTAATGAAATAAATTTACCACAGGAAGTTCCACAAGAAAAAGCAAACTTGCCTTGGGCCATCAGTGGGCAAGACTAGATTCTAAGAAGCACAAACACTTCATGAGAGAAGACATGTAGTGTCAGACAGAAAACTCCGCAGACACTCTTAAAAGCTTGTCTGACACTTCTTCAATGTGCCCCAATTAAAAATTCAAATTTATAATATCAGACACTTTACAACAATTCTCGGACACTTCGGTGACACTTTTGAATTCTTTGAAAATGACCTATGTGATGAATCTCTTCATAGTAACAATGTTTTGCATTCTTCGGAATGCAACTTGTCCACTTTAAACATGTTTTGAAACATTTATAAGATGTGTATTTCAATGTTATATAATTCTCAAAGAATGCAATTGTTAAGTAAATGATATCCTAATGTTTAAGTTATAAAATATATGACTTTTTAATCTTAATAGCGTTATGTTTCTTTTTTCATTACCTTTGAATAATCTACTCATATATTTGATATATAATAAGTTTATAAAATATGCAATTTTTATGTATCCCAAGCGTATCGCGCCCTGCATTTTTTGAAAATTGTCATGATCGTGATTGTGATCGTGTTGTGTCACATGTCCATATCTATGCTAGACTAATTAAAATATGAGCTATGACTTTTTAAGAAATAGATACCTCTCGCAATGTGTAATAGGCATCTTCATAAAACCTCAAAGCTTCAACCCAGTCTCTTCGAAACTCTGCATATACAGCAACCTAGCAATTCATAAGATTTAGATAATTAATGAGTAATATGGACAACCTCATTGAGCACAAAACGTACATAGAGATTGGATAGCAATGTCTAGATTGTTCAAATCAATTGAGCTATAGGCATCAAACTCTTGTGATTTGATCCCAAGGAAAAACTGCAATTTTTTTTTTAGTGTCAACAGAAATTTTATTAAAAAAGAAAAGTGAAAGAGGACAAGAAGTCCTCATACAAAGAAAGAGAAAGAGCAAAACAAAGGCACAAAACTCTTAGCCCTAGGATGGCAAATAGCAACCCAATCCCTAGAGATCAACAACAAAAGAACTCCTTTAAAAGGAAGGGATACAAATGCCCAAAATGATGCCAAATATGCCGCCCTATCCCACAAAGCCTCTACACTTGCTTCCTTGCCATCAAAGACTCTTGTATTTCTCTCCAACCATATAATCCAGAAAACAGTAAAAACAATGCTTGTTCACATTTTTTTGGATCTCTTGGTGCTCCTAAACCCTTTGAATCTAATAAGAAGCATTTGAATGCAGTTCCGTGGAGCAACCCGCTGCTTAGCTGAAAAGATGCTGCCATAATACACAAGCCACCAGGCAATGAAGAAACAGATGATCCGCTACCTCCAAGGTCCTTTTGCACATCACACACCATTGAGGGCAAAGAGAGTGATTAGGCCTTGTTCTTTGAAAAACATCATTAGTTGTGACATCCTTTTGAGCCAAATACTACATGAAGAACTTCACTTTATGACGGACAACCGTGTTTCAATTTTTTTTGTGAGAAGGAAACAAAAGAACAGAGGGATTATCAATGAGCTTATCAAAAAAGGATTTACATGAAAAGACCCTGAAGAAACAAGATTCCACTCCCTAAAGTCACAAGAGGAAGAAAGAGAAACCCCCTCAAGCAATACCAACAAAGATGCCAACTCCACCACCTCTCTATCATTCACGTTTCTAATGAGATCAAAATTCCAAGAAATGGATGCCATAGAAGAGCATGCCACCGACGTTATTGAAACATTCTGAGAACAAACCAACCAGCAAAGAAGAGGAAAAACTCTATCAAGCAAGATATCCCCTAACCAAACACCCTCTCAAAAACGGATGGTCACCCCATTCCCAACTCCCAGTGAAAATAAGTTACACAAGTGGATACAAACGAGAAATGGACTTCCACGACAACTGTCTTTATTAACCACGTTATAATCTCTATCATTGGATTGAACTCCATACTTGCTTTTAACAACTGAACACCATAGGGATTCACTTTCAATAGAAAATCTCCACAAACACTAGCTCAATAGAATAATATTCCTAGCAACGATGTTCCCAATAGCTAGGCCTCCTTTTTCCCTAGGGAGAGAAACAATCTCTCACCTAACCAAATGAACCCTTTTACCCTCTTCACACCCTTCCCAACGAAAATCTCTCATCAATTTCTCAATTTTCCTTGCAATGCTAATCAGAATTTTGAAAAGGGACAAGAAATAAATAGGAGCAGAGTCTAATACGGATTGTACCAAGTTAATATAGACTCTACCAAAGTATATCTCCCTCCCTTAGACAACAAAGCTTACTTCCACCCCTTTAATCTTTTCCCAATTTTGACAAGAACGGGCTCCCAAAAGGATGCCAATCTAGGTTGTCCTCCCAATGGAAGCCCCAAGTATTTGAGAGGAAAGGAATCAATGGAACATCCCAACATATCCGCCACCCAATGCACATAGCTATCTTCCAAATTAATATCCACAATACTACTCTTGCTAAGATTGACCTTGAGGCTCGACACAATTTTAAAAATTCTCAAAATCTTTAGCAAACTCTCCACCTTATTTTCCTTCTTTGATAGAGTCGAGTGAAAAAGAAGGATTCATGCAGCTAACCTCATTTGATTGGACTTAAAGCTTGGTTTGATTTGGATGAGAAGAATATATGCAATTGTTTGTATCTTTGAAAGTTTTGATTGATAGAATATTCCACATTGATAAATGCACTGTTCTCATGCAAGCAGCATGGAGTATCATCCTCAATCGATTAAATTCAGTAATTTTAATTTCTCCATTTTTTTGTAAAAATCATGCTGAAGCAAATTATGAATTCTAAAGATAAGAGGACCATGGTAGTTCCCATACATACCCATACTGCATTTACTGATAGGAAACTACTATGAAGCTCTTTATGGTGGGATTTTCCAACGACATAAAAAAATTATACAAAAAAATTGTGAAAAAAATACTGCGAGGGTGCAACCAATGAAGCACTCATGTACTTTACAAGTAAATCAATAAAAGATGAGGTCCAGACCTTAAAGCAATAGCGGATACTCAACTCTACAGAGCTGATGCTCTTCCTTTCAAGACATGTTTTAATCCTTCGTCCTTCATCCCTGTAATATGTATTTGATAATTCTGCAAATATGTTCCCTAGCCTGCACATTGTTTGTTATATAATAAAAACAACGCTCAGCAAATATCGATCGATCAAGAGAGAGAGAGAGGGAGAGATTAAAAAAAAAAAAAACTCTTATCCGAATACTATACAGAAGTTTCATGCCTGTTGAGGGATTGTGCTAGCTCCAATTCATTGTTTGGAACAAAGACAACAAGGTATTTGGAATCTAATTCAGCACGCTTTCGCAGAGCAATCATACGATCTTCACTGACATCATCTGCATCAAATAATATTACCAACTGCTTCTCATAATCCTAATCATTTTCTAAAAGTTGAACGGGGAAGAAAAATAGTCCAGATAAAGAAGCCCTTTTTTGCTTGCTTTACAGAAATAAAATATATAACACAAATAAGTAATATGCAATTTGGAGCCTATATTTGATGTAGCTCAAAATATGCAAAATACTCTTCAAATAACATAGATAAATTCTGCATTGAAGAAACACATAGTGAATACATCATATAATAACTTTGCTACAATAAATTCTGCATTGAAGAAACACATAGTGAATACATCATATAATAACTTTGCTACAGCTAATTTGAACAAAATTTCCTCTTAAAGAATAGAAAACACGGAGACGGATTAAAAAAAAAAAAAAATTCAAATGAATGTAGAGAACTACATCAATGAGGTATTAAGTATGACAACTTACCCTTAGAATTAGACTGCACAACCACAACAAGAACTAGTTTGATATTCCTTCGTCGAATTATAGCCCTGCTCATATATATATACATAAACCACAAAAGCACAGACCATCAACTCAATCGTAAGGTAGTGTTTGGTTGACTGTAATGAGAGTGAATTGGAACATCATTCCATTTCCAATGAACGAAACATAACATAGCATAAAGAAACAAACAGGAAAAGAGAAAAGGGAATGGTACTTGAGGTTTTCGAGATCGGTGCAGAGCTGAAGCCACTGAGCGGGGTCGCCGGAGACGTGATCGGAGGTGAAGAGAGCGGCAACGACAGAGGGAACCCTAGTGCGATGCTTGAGGAGCCAATCCCTTTTGAAAATGCCGAGGGATTGAGCAGAATGGGGGGGTTGTTTGGGAGTCTTGGAGATGAGAGAGATCTTAGAGAAGTCAGGTAGGGCTAGGGTGTTGATGGGAGGCTGTTCGGAGTGGAGATGAGTGGAGATCACTGCGTGAAGCTCCGGACACCCCACCAGCGCCACCAGAGCCACCGGCGGCGTTCGAAGCTCTTCCGGATACTCTTCCATCTCTCTCTCTCTCTCTCTCTCTCTCTCTCTCGTGTGTGTGTGTGTTGATTGAGGAATTTAGGGTTTGAGTGAGTGGAGATCGAATGGTAGTAGGGTCTCCTCCGGCAATCCTCGGCCGACCATATGAGAGTGATTTTGACTCGAGGCGGATCTCTTTTGGCCAGGCCGATTCACTGGTATTCATGAGTTGACTCACATGACCTTTTGTTTTTTGTTTTTTATTTTTTATTTTTCATCCTATATGTGCATATCTATATCTATACAATATATAAAGCACCGATGCAACATGAACAGTAATTTCAGCCAAATATAAACAGTGTTTTGTAATAGTTGAAAAGTCAATTTTAACCTTGTACTTTATAACTTTTCTTCTTTGGATGCAAGGGTATTGATGGAAAAATACCTCAAATTACTTAGAGCTGTTTATAACTCTCTTCTCTGCACTCTGTACAGAGAACCCTCCATTCTCTCACCGATCTCACCTCCTACCTGCTCTCACCGATCTCCGATCTCCTCTCTCCTCTCACCGATCTCCTCCCTCCTTTCTCCTTTGGCGACCGCCGATGAGGTCTCCTCTGTGGTGGCGATTTGTTTGATTTCTATATCTATACAATATATATAAAGCACCGATGCAACATGAACAGTAATTTCAGCCAAATATAAACAGTGTTTTGTAATAGTTGAAAAGTCAATTTTAACCTTGTACTTTATAACTTTTCTTCTTTGGATGCAAGGGTATTGATGGAAAAATACCTCAAATTACTTACAGCTGTTTATAACTCTCTTCTCTGCACTCTGTACAGAGAACCCTCCATTCTCTCACCGATTTCACCGATCTCACCTCCTACCTACTCTCACCGATCTCCGATCTCCTCTCTCCTCTCACCGATCTCCTCCCTCCTTTCTCCGTTGGCGACCGCCGATGAGGTCTCCTCTGTGGTGGCGATTTGTTTGATTTTGTGGGTATTCATAGTGTTCAGCAGCGAATCAAACGAAAATTGAGCCCAAGGATGGAAGAATACGACACAAGCTTCTATTAAGGTAAAGACATACATGAAGAATGTTAGGTATTTCGATTTTAGGTTCCTTTTGATCCAGTTAGGGTTTGTAATTTTTTTTTTTTTTTTTTTTCTTCCACTTACTCTATACTTTATATATTTATTATGTAATTTTTTTACCAAACAAAAGTAAAACGTTTGTTTGGTTAACTAAAAAAATTCTTTATAAAATACAATTTTTTTCAAAATGTCAACATTATTGTTTAAAAAGTACTCAGTGTGTTTGATTTAAGTTTTTTGGATTTAGTTATTTGAAAAATGAGTTTTTTTATTTTCGTATTTTTTTGTTTTTAGTGAATATTTTTAAAATTTTAAATATTTTTTTTTACTTTTTTAGATGCACCTTAGTTAGATATATCTAAAAAGTAATAAATTTGTGAAAAAATATTTTTAAAAATTAATAAATACATAAAATGTACTGAAAAAATGTATTTTTTTAAAAAAAATACAAAAAATGTGTTTTTTTTTTTAAATACAAAAAATATTTTAAGTATTTTTTTTTGTATAATAAGGTGTATTGTTATGGTATCAGAGCCATTGTTATGTTGAATCCTGATTCTAATTGTTTAGCTACTTCCGATCAATCAATTCTGTTGTTTATTTGATTAATCTAGTTTTCAGTTCATCTTAATCACCCAAGAGATTCGTCTGTGTTTATCCACCTGGTTTAAGTCACCCACTTTCGTTCCCTGTCCAGAGTAAGTCCTTAGAGTTAGGCAGTGTAGGACATAGGAGTCTTCCAAATAGGGTCTGTACTAAAACCAATTGGTATGTGATAACATGACAAGAATAAGGTATGTATTAAGATATTTGTAAAACTGATTAATTAAACAAAACAATGAATTGATTATTTAGAAGTAACTCCTCAGTTAGTTCTAGGTCAACAACTTTGCCCTCAATACCTAATCCAAGATTAATAATTAATGAAGAAGATATTGAAATACAAAATGATAAAATTGATGCAGGATAGAATATACCCAAACTACAAATTAAAGAAATTTATAAAGCTACTTTTATACATAATGTTTTTAAAGTAGCTTTGCATGTTAAAACCATTGAACAAGTTTATACTTTAGAAAAACCTAGAGAATCCTGTCGATTATTTGATGCTAAGTTAATCAAGTCACCCCAAAGGCCAAGTTATCCATGAAATTGCTCAATCCTATTTTGGCTCTGGATGCCATTTCATCCTCTCACATCTAGAGAAAACACTCACCTATTACAAAGATATTTTGATCTATCACCAATCAGTCTTGATCAAACCCATTTATGATCGAACCTATGCTAGCAAGGTTTTGTATTATTCCATTTACATTCATAACATTATTTCTTTAGCTGAATGGGGTCCTCCTTATCAGTTTCGTGATTTACCTGGTCACTCTGTTCAATACAATTACCATGATTACATTGATGGTTGGTTCAAGATCTTCTTGTACCAAAATGAAACTTTCAGTCACTCCTGGTTCATTTCTTTTGATCAAAAATTCAAGTCAGAATTACCTTCCTGGTTTCTGAGATGGTGGACTCATTATGGCGCCATTTCGAATATCCTTCCTGGTGATCTTACTGAGCTAATTAATTATTTTGCTTCTGTTTACCTATTCATTGCTCATCAAAGAACATTTCCATTTTTGTTAATTTTTATATCCAAATACAAAATCCCTTGGATATTTAAATGGCATTATGGAGTTGAAGATAATATAATCATTCGTCAACACTCAGTTAAATGGTGGGCTAAATTCAATGTGCCCCGTATATTTGAAATTGTTCAAGAAGAATTCCCAATTGATCAATGTGCTCCTACTCCTGCACTTGCTAAAGCCCAGCAGAACCCAACTTCTGCAATCAGCCAAGGAAGTCAGCCCAGTCTTCCTCCGATCAACCTTGGAAGCCCCTCATCTAGTGGTTCCAAGCCCAATTCATCCAAGTCCAAGATTCAGCCCACAACTGATAAATCAAAGTCCAAGGCTAAGCCCAAAGCCCCTGCAGTACCGGCTCAACCAAAGACTTAATCAAAACCCAAATCAAAATCTAAGTCCAGGGCTCAGTCAAAGCCCATTTCACCTCCTACTCAGCCCAAAGTCAAATCCAAAAGCAAGTCCAAATTATCCAAAGATGAAGTGCTCCAGTTAGTCCAAAAAATTATGGATTAAGGAGAAGCCTAGTCAACCAGTTCAGAAAATTCAGAAGACGGTTCAGACCAGCCACAATCTTCTGAAGGTTCAACTATTCAACCCGTCTCATATGGAAGATCTGAGTTCCAAGATGCTCAGGACCCATATGCCTGATCAACATTGGATTCCTTATAAATACAAATTAGCTTCAATGAATACTCTTTTGAGAAAAACTGCCAATTTGTATCTATATTGATTCCTTTATTCACATGTTCCACCGAAAGTGATGAATAGTAAAAGTTATTGTTCACTTTTACTGTTCACCGTCACTATTCATCAATCAACTGTTGCTAAAGCTGCTCATCTGTACAATCACTCCATCGAAAGCAACCGACAACATTTGCTTTGCCTCATGCGCTGCCAGCTACCTTCATCAATCAAAGAAGTCACATGCTACTTTACTTTTCTTTTCCTATATATTGTAATCAAATTATACTCATTCGACACTTCTCTCTTTTTTCTTCAAGCTTCAGTTTACAGAAAACACAGAGAGCTCTGAGTGAAAATTACCTCTTCTCGTTTGTAACCCAATTAAGATCATTGCAGTTGCTACATTTGTAATTGTAAGTATTTTCTGTATTTCAATTAAAGTTTTATTTAAATGATTTTGGTTAATTAGTGCATTCCAATTCTGTTCCTGCTTGTTCAATTTTAGTCATATTTGATTTCGTAATCTATTTTCTTCATTCTACGTTCTACGTGCTGCTTCCGCCTTATTTGTATTTTTGGTATTTAGTGAATTTTTAAAAGGTTTTTTTCGTAATTTTTTACTTTTTAGGTATATTTATGTGTGGTATGTCTAAAAAGTATAAAAAAAAAATTGCTCAAAAAAATTGCTTAAAAATTGCTTACAAATAATTGTGTCAAAAGATAATTACTAATTTTTTAAGCAATTTTTTTTAAAAACTTTTTAGACATACCTAACATAAATATATCTAAAAAGTAAAAAAATTATGAAAAAAACCTTTTAAAAATTCACTAAATACCAAAAACACACACAAAAAAAATACTTTAAAATATTTTTTGTATTTTTTTAAAAAATACATTTTTTTCAGTACATTTTTGTATTTTTATGTATTTATTAATTTTTAAAAATATTTTTTCACAAATTTTTTACTTTTTAGATACATCTAACTAAGGTGCATCTAAAAAAGTAAAAAAAAAATATTTAAAATTTTAAAAACATTCACTAAAAATAAAAAAATACGAAAATCAAAAGTTTCAGTTTTCAAATAACTAAATTCAAAAAACTCAAATTAAAACACTGAATACTTTTTAAACAATTATGTTGACATTTTGAAAAAAATAATATTTTATAGAGAATTTTTTTAGTTAACTAAACAAATGTTTTACTTTTTTTTGATAAAAAAATTACATAACAAATATATAAAGTATAGAGTAAGTGGAAGAAAAAAAAAAACAAAACAAAAGAGTTGAATTTAATTTGAAAAATAGTGATTAAGGCCGAAATGTAAATCATTGAGGCCGTTAATTAGAATCTCTTAACTTCACTTGCTGATCAAACTGTATACTTTATGTGTGTTGAATGTCAATTAAGTTGTATATCGTCGGAGCATAAAATGGGCAAAAATACAGAGTTTGGACAGAGTTGACTTACCCGCACATGCGTTGACTTTTTTGCACGTGCGTTGACTTTTTCTAGGAAAGTCAAATCGACGTTTTTAAACCTATTTGGACGAGATTGGAAGGATAAAAAGGAAGGAAAAGGCTTTTGTAGGGTTCGGAAGTTGTTTTGACCTAAAAGGAGAGGCTAAGATTTGGAAGGGAAGAGAAAAAAAAAGCTTCAAGGATGTCTCCCATGGTAGTTTCTTCTCCATCTACCTCCTTCCACCCCTCCATGAGTGGCTAATCTCATTTTCTAGGGTTTTGATGAAACTCTAGCCATATAATTATTTTGTTTTCTTTTTGATTTTTAATTATGTAAAGGTTTGAACAATTGTATGGTGATTTAGAAGTTCATATATATATTTTTCATTATCTCTTCGAATATTTGACTTTCTGTGATTGTTGAATGTTATCCATACATGAGTTTTCTATTCCTTCACATTCAAGGTATGTGACGAACCATGCTACGAGGAATGAGTCGTATCACTGCCTTAGTTTAGAGTGAACGATTCGTACTATTTGAGATGGTTCGTGCTCGTACATTGAATGTGATGATCTTCTTGTTAAATGCTTTGAATTTGTAGTTGCGAAGCATTAATCCGTTCAAACCATAGTATAATTGATTTCAATTGGAAACCCTAATTATGTGGTTAGTGGTGAATTCTCTACCCTAAGATTTTTTCCCAATTTAGTAAACTCAATTTCATTTATTATTGATAATTTAATTCCTTAGTTTAATTTATTCGTTATTAAATTAGGTTATAAACAATCAATCTTTTATTCAAAATTAATTTAGGAATTTGACAATTAAATTAGTTTAATTTCACAATAGTCCCTGTGGATCGATACCTGAACTTGCCATTATTCTGATTGAATTTGGTATCGTTTAGTATTTAATTTTAGTGTGTTCAACGACCCATCAAATAGCAACAGTTTGGAGATGTGGGGTGTTGAACTCGCGCCCTCCCAAGCTAAGCAAGTGGACTACCATTCGGGCTACATCCCACTTAAATTTTATTTTGCTCACATTTTAATATATTTTAAAAACGTGTTTCCTTATTCAACAGTAAAAACGTGGTTCGAAACCACGTTTTCTCAAAAAAAAAAAAAAATTGCTTAAAAGGGTAGTTTGTAATCATGCTTTCTTAATTAAAAGCGAGGTTTCTAACCACGCTTTTACTATTTCACAAATTTTTCGCAGGAGGGGCCTGGAAACAGTGAAAGCGTGGTTTGTAATAGCGCTTTACCCTAGTTTGAGAATTCCGTCTAAATTAAGCCTAGTTTGAGAAATAAGTTGCTAATTTGACTTAATTTGGGAAAAGCCCCCAGATTCCAACCATTTGACTCAGATTATCAGATGATTTTAAGATGAGAAATTTTTAAATAATTATTTTAATAAAAAAATTAAAAGGTTTTAACTATTTATCATTGAATTTTTTCATATTTTTTTATTGAATTTTTAAATATTGTATGTAATTTTTTTATTTTTTAGATCTACCAAATTTATTCATATACTTAAAATATATATTTTTTTTTATAAAAAAATTCACCAAATACAAAATATAAAAAAAAAATTGATACATTTTCATATTTTATTGTATTTAATGATTTTTTAAAATATTTTTATACAAATTTTATACTTTTTGAATATATATACTTTTTGATTAAAATATTTTAAAAATTCATTAAAAATATAAATATGCGAATTAAAAACTTTTTATCTTTTGGATTTATTTTAGGCTATTTTTTTTCTCCATTACCCAGCTCAACCAAACATATATTGGAATTCAAATCCTATAAATTATTTCTTATTTTCTCTTTTCATTTCTTTCATCAAATCAACCTAAAAACAGGAAATAAATTATAAATATACTCTATGAAATTTACTTGAAATATGAATTATCTCTTATAAATTTATAAATTACATCCTGCCTCTTTACGTTTATAAGAACTAACAAATGACCCATTTATTAATAATTATCAAGTTAATAATTTTTTAATGATGTAAAAAATGCATTACTTTTCTATTTTGTAACATCAATCACAAAACACGTAATCTCTTGTAGAGTTCATAGTGAACTTGTCGCTCACTTTCTAACATTACAAGTATTTGCGAAGACCCCTAACTTGATGTGCATGCCACGCCATCTCTTTTGTTGCGTGATTAGTAAATCTTTGGGATAATTGGGGATACGATCTTGTTGTGAATTATAATTCTTTAATTAGCCTTTAGTTTTTAATCTAAACATTGATTTACTTATTTTGTATTTCATTATTGATTTACTTTTTGTATGACATGCATGCATAGGAAATGGTACGAGCTTGTAAGGGTTTGCCATTACAAGAGAGAATTTGGTATGATAATTGAGCAACAATTGGATGAAATGAGCAAAACATAACCGTTAGAATGACACATTACACACACTATTTCGAACTAAATGGGGGAATTAGAGTTCTTTTGAGTATTCTATGAAAACAAATGGAATTGTTTTAAGAATGTTTAAAAGAATAAAAGTGAGATTTTGCTTAAATAATCCCCACCTAATTAATCTTTTAAAAACCGAAGTGTGACCCATATCACCAGAATAGCTAGAGCAATGTGAGATTTAAGGAATCAATGGTGGGTAGTGTTTTTTGTTCAACATCTAAGGAAATGACTTTGAATTAGAATTTCAACAAATTGGGTTACTACAACATAAAAAATGCAACAGATCGGTGCTAAATAAAACTGTGACTTGAAAACAATTGCATATTTTGAGTTGAACTACCAATAGGTTCTAATAATTACACTTAATTCTCATCAAGTCCAATTGAAAATAAATCTTGATAAAATTGTTGTTAAAAATATTTTTTTTGTGATAATTTTTTACACAAGTCACTAAAAATTGACAATTAGTGACTTTTTTTATCATAATTTTTATAAATTGTCGCTAAAATTTACAATTAGTGACATTTTTTTATGACAAATTTTTCTCATAAAAACTATTAGACAATAAGTCCACTTATTATGACTACACGTAAGTACCCCAGAATATATTCAACGAGGAAGCTATTATGTTTTGCATGTGTCTTTACAAAAAAAATGGTCCTATTCTAGAGTATAAAAGGAGTTTGTTTTTGTTTTTTTGGAGCTCCCTTTCACTTTCTAATTTAGAGGTTGTTGGAAATATGCTGTAGCGTAGATGGTTCAGGCAGGAAGTTCGAGAGTGAAGTTCGATTGGGTGGCAGTTAGGACAGCATGGGTAAACAAAAAATGACACCGACTGTTGGAGGTGGGAGTGGGTGCAGAAGGTGAGATGTAGATGATGGAGATTGGGGAGATAGAATGTGGATGATAGAAGTTGAGGAGGTAGAAGGTGGATGCAGCATGTGGATATGATGGGCCACGAAAGGAGATAGAGAGGTGGGCAATGGCGGTTGTGTGGGTGGAAGGTGGCAGAGGTAATGGTGGGCTATGGAAGGAAGGTAGGAAGTGAAAGGCGGCAACGTGGCGGGTGATGGTGATTGTGGAGGTGAGAGATGGAAACTTGCTTTCATTAAGGAAAAAAGATAAGAAAAAATGAAGATACATTAACAATTTTTAACATGAGTTGATAATCTCTATTAAATAAAGGTCAACGTAATTTATCAAAAGAAATTAAAATAAGGCGAAGTAAAGAGATTGAAATTAATAATTATCTACAAATAAAATAAAAAAGGAACTTGTAATTATCACAACTACGCATTTTCACATCAAACAATAAATTAAACCTCTTAATTAAATATAAAAATAAAAATCCCAGTTTTATCCAATATATTTCTCATTTTGACATTTTTAATCTGTTACTCAAAGCCACAGTACAGAAGCATCTAGGCCAACCAAAATCCAAAAAACAAGACAAGTTTCACAACAGAAAAACACCATGCAAAAGTAAATTTTTAATCAAAAGCTCAAAAACATGTTTAGGTTATAATATAGAAAATAAGTGGGGGAAAAAAAAAAAAAACTACTAATTTTTTTAAAATAAACTTTTAAAAAAACAAACACACATAACATGCTTGTCTCCAAATGCAAGTAAAACGACAGCACACCAATGTCAATCAAGCAATGGGAACAAACAGAAACATGAACATAATTCACCTATGCACACTCCACAACCGGGGCAGGGGTAAATGAATGGCAAATAAGATGCTTAAATCTTGAACTTATGACGGAAAAAAAAAAAGTACAAAGACAAAAAAAAAAAAAAAAAAAAAAAAAAACCAAATCAAGTGTTGAATCAATCAAGATAAAGTGTTTTGTCTTGATTGAAGTACCTACAAAATAAAAAATTTAAAAAAAAAAAAAAAAAAAAAAAAAAACCTAAAGTGTTCTTCAGACAAGTTGAATCAATCAAGAGTACTAGCTCTCGACTGCAGCCAGAAGGCCAAGCAAGTGGGCATACTAGAATGGAATTTTTAACTACCTTTTGCCCCCATAGTTACCCATTAGAGGTGTGTGTATTCCAAGTCACTAAAACAAAGAAACCCCTAATTTTAAGTGATTAAATCTTCCATCAACCTCGACTTGATGCTATGAAATGATGAACAAGTTTTAGACGCCATTTAACACAAAATGCAAGAATCTAACTACAGAACCCAAACCCCCGGGGTCCAGACCAATTCAGGAATCATATGTTGATTCTCTTCGATAAGATTGCAGGAAACCATATTCCAGCAATCTAAAAATCCAAACTCAAACCAGTGACCTGGCGGGACAAGTCCGTCATACAGACTGTGAAAGAGCAATCCTCCATGCCCCTAACCATGTTTTTCTAGACTGGGACTCAGAGCAACTCAATATCTTACAAGCGACTCCACTGTATCCTTGGTGAACACGACTCGGACGACCTGCAATGACATAAAAGCCAATTATTAAATTCAGCATACAATTGGAAAAACACAAAATAAAAAATAAAATAGGATATCATAAAAAGGCTAAAGAAAGAAAATTGCAATGAGAAACGATAGAGGAGATTCGAACCATTGACCTCCTAATGAGGTGCAGGAGTTCTGGTCAATCGGAGTAACAATAGAGAGTTATTTTGGAAAGTTATTTAATGAAAATCACTCAAGAAACTAGAGTTTAGGAGACCTAGATAACTCTAGTACTAAATATTAAGGGTAAATTACACAGACATCCCTTCAGGCTTGGAAAAAATACAAGTAGCCCCATAATTTTGACATAATTACATTAAGCTCTCTTTTAATAAGGCTAAATCAACTGAAACTAAAGCAGATGGTGCGATTACACAAGGATGAACACAGAAAAATATAAACTTTAGTGTAAACTAAATGACATCATTTTTTCATTCATATGACTAACGAATTATTGATGAAAATGGGATCAAATGCAATTAGAATTAAACCCTTGAAGGAACCCAATGTAATTATGCAAAGACTTGCTGTATTTTCTCCAAATCTTAAGGGAGGTTAGTGTAATTAACCCTAATATTAATTATAAATTCTAGCACAAAATCAGAGTAGAGGAGGTAAAGGATGCTGTGAAGAAGATAAAAGTGGGGAAAGTTGTAGGACCATATGAAGTTCCTATTGAAGTTTGGAAGTGATAATGTGATGCAGGGGCCATTTGGTTGACAAATTTGTTTAACAAGATCTTGAATTTTAAGAAAATGCCTTATGAATGGAGGAGAAGCACATTAGTTCCAATATATAAGAACAAAAGTGATATTCAAAGCTGCTCTATTATTATAGTATTGAATTCATGAGTCATACAGTGAAACTATAAGAGAAAGTAATTGAGCAAAATTTAAGACGGGAGACTATTGTTTCATAAAATAAAGAACATCTACAATAATAGCTAATTTTCTACTTAGGTCATTAATGAAAAAATATAAGCAAAAGAACAAAGACCTCCCTATGGTGTTTATTGATTTAGAAAATAGAAAATAGAGATTCTAGAGAGATAATGTGAACAATTTTGAAAAAGAAAGGAGTATCATTCAGATATATTGATACAATTAAAGACAAATACGATTGAGCCGTGACTAGTGTGAGGATTGTAGGCGGAGAAAAAAGTGAATTTAGGTTTACATCAAGGATCAACACCAAGTCTTCACCTTTTTACATTAGTATTGATGAACTTACTAGGAATATTCAAGATGATATTCCATGGTGTATGTTATTTGCAGATATAATTTTTTTGCGAGACAAGAAGACTAATCCTTGAGCTAGAATTGTGGAGAGATTACTTTAGAATATCAAAAGGGTTTAAATTAATGACTAATACATAACAACCTTGCCAGGTGCAGTTTCTGTCAAGCTAAAACTGATAATTTAATTGTAAAAGCTAAACCATCACCTCCCTAGCTTTCCAATAATAATTTTTTTTCATCCTGTTACATCCTTTTTGCTCACAAGTAATATGCAGAAGCTGCGACAAACACTCTTGGCACAAACACCCAAAATAATAAAATCCATAAGCACTCTAATAAGCTAGAGCCAACAAGGCCAATATATAGTGTAATTTTAGCAAAACTATAAATAGGGATGAATATAGAGTAAAACTTGATGGACATGACATACCTAAGAGTGATCCTGTTTGGTATCTTGAGTAAAGTATTAAAAAAGATAGAGAGATTGAGGAGGACATGGTCATAGGATTAAAGTAGAATGGATGAATGAAGTGTGTGGGATTCATATCAACTTGAATGGAAAATTTTATAGGACTGCTATAAGGCTTGTTATCATGTGTGGGACCAAAATGTTGAACAGTTAATTAAAAACATGTTCAGAAAATGAGTATAGCTGAAATAAGAATGTTGAAATAGTTGAACAGCGTAACAAATAAAGATAAAGAAATGACTACATTAGGAAGAAGATATCAATAGCACCAATTGAAGAGAGATAATAAAAATCCATTTGAGATGACATGGTCACGTGCATCGTAGACCAATCAATGAGCCTATAAAGAGAACTGGAGGAGTGATTTGATCCACATAAATGGTGGTAAAATCAATGGAGGAAGGCTTAGGAGAACTTGAGTTCAGGTGATAAGAAAGGACTTGACTATCTCAAACTAAACTGAAGATATGACTGCAAATAAAACCAACTACAGGAAACAGAACCAATTGGGACAAAGGCTTGTTTAGTTTAGTGGAGTGGGAATGTGTTGAGATATTGCTATATGGGGAAATTATTATTCAGTGTAAATGCAGAAAAAAAATTACACATCAACGATAAATTTTATGATTAATAATTAAAATTCTAAACTTTTTCATGTATTTGTAAATAATTTTTTAGGACACCACTGAATTGTAATTACCCCTTGCTATATTCTAGATACAAGCTAGTGATATGCCATGCCCTTCTTTAACTCGTTTCTTAACAAATATCTTCTTACATCTGAATTCCTTTTCCCTATCTTTCTTCTCTAAATAAGAAAGCTAATGGAATAACAAAAATTTAGTGCTTATGAAAAATTTATTGTTCTGAAATTGAAGTGTACCATATTTTTGAAAGGTCTGTTCCAAAATGGAAATTGCTTTGGTACCCTCATTTCCTGGAAAAATATTTTTCAACATTTTTAAATGGTTCCACACATCTGATAAACTTAATATTTTGAATCGAAGGATGGCCAACAAGGTTGATCTTTGATTTACTTTTCAACATTTCTAAAAGGTTCCAAAAATCTGATGAATTTTATAGCTTGAATGGCAAGGTGGCCAACAAGGTTGATCTTGATTTAATTCACAATATTATATTACTAATTAGAAAATGTTGAGAGATCTATTTTCTAAGATAAGCCAATACTACATTCTGCTATCCTAGCTGTTGTTAAGTCGCTAAAATTTATCTCAGAACTGCATCCTTAAGAATACAAGGAGGAAAGCAGGCATTACCTCTTAAATGCAAAGATGAGTACTTGCAAGGTTAGATTCAAAGTCTGCCACTCAAGTAGAAGCTGGTGTTAGTCCTCTTGCAATTTACGGATTGCCTGAGGATAAAATGAAAGTACCTTAGTAAAATATATAGTTAATGCAAAAAATAAATACAAAAATAGTTTGGCTAAACCACTATTTTTACCTCAAGATCTGTCTCTTTGCTGTCTACCACTCAACCGGCCATTTGATCAGAACCGCTACTCTGAATGAACTGGGGAGGACGACCAGGCATTATAATTCGCGCCTGTCCTGGAGCTGGTGCAGGTATACCTGAGGAAACCAAGGAACTAACTTAAATAGGTCCACATATGCTGGTTGAGAATGTTTCTAGTTCTCAGCTAGCACTGTCACTATTCTTGTGATTCCATATGTTATTGATGCAAGGCTTTGAATCTCATATCATTGAAGTCAGATGATGCGATCAATGTTTTACAAAAGATTCCAATCACAAACAAAAGGGATTCATATATATGATATATAGCATTAAACATATGCAAAAGAATGTGTGCTGGAATTTGCCAACATAGAGTAATATCATCAAAATTGAATTGACTAATAGAAAAATAGAATAAATATCTCATTCTCCATAGTTTCTTCTTCCAAAAAAAGTAATGAAATAACTAGTGGCTGATGCCAATACAGTAATTCTTCATTTTTCCTAAAGACAAATATATCATGTTTCTAGTTTTCATTTACTTTCTAGAAATCACAGGACTGTAAGCTTGGAACTTGGCTGGCCATTGTCTTATGTGGCTAGTATGGTTGGAGCGTAATTGGCGGGTATTTTTGGGGGAGATGCGTTCGGCGGCTTGGTTGGAGCGGCGTTTGCTCTTTGTGTTGCATAGTTAGTTAACGCTGACTGTGGACCCGGATGTTTTGTCTTTTGTTGATTTCGTAGAGGACTTGACTTCATAGTTCTTTTGTTTGTTTTTGCCTTGATGTTTTGTGCAGTTTGGGTTTTGGCTGCTACTAGTCATTAGGCTAGTTTTTGTATTCTTTGCATCGTCTTGATGCCCTTTTAATAAAGTTGGCGTGTTTATCAAAAAAAAAAAAAAAGAAATCACAGGACTGTAAGATATGCTAGCTTGATATAAATTGTTGGCCCATTTCTTAACAGCATAAGCTTTTGGGAGAAATGGTGATCTAACATGTCAAAGACACAAAAAATATATATGCGTGTTTTTTAGAGTGCATAAAAATTGACATTAAAAATATCCATTCCAGCTACAAATAAACCTTATCACTACCAAAACTTGAGCCACGTAAGGATGGCAAAGATACCAATCATGCCATTGCTGGTGATGAACATCTGATACTTAACTTGCAAAGGGATGATCAGGATATATTTAGAACTAATATCATAACAATAGTGTTTTTGTGTGTGCCTTGCACTCAGACTGTCAGTCTTCCCCAAGGTTTAACTGTGCAGTGGGATCCAATCATTGCAAACGACATTATGCTTTAGCAGCATGTTTTGTGTTTTCTCTGCAAGGCTTCAATTTGTTTTTTTCCCCTCTGTGTTTGTTCCTTTCTTTTTACTGCAGGAGGCTACCGTTACATAAGGTTATAAGAAATCAGAAGCAGAATCAGGAATGGCTTTGATCAAGGAGAGCCTAGAAGCATTACCAACGGTAAAATTCTTATCATCTTCTCAAAATAAGCGTCTTATTAAACCATCTAAATGAGGTTGCTGTTGTGATTTATGTTTATTTCCTTTTCTTTCTTTCTTTTTTTTTTTTAATTAGCAGCAAATAAAATTGTACAAGAAAACATGCCGAGTGGGCACAACTCTCATACAATTAGATTTAAAAAAAAATAAATAAAGTACAAAAATAGCCCCAACACTCTTAATACATGCCAAAAAACACCACACCCACCAACTACAAAACTACAAAAAGTAGTCATCTTCACAAAAAGGTGCTTTTTCAGATTTTGACATCAATGCCCCTCCAGTTCTGCCAATAGCCACAATAAGTTTTAACTTCTGAGTGCATCTACTTGAACTGTCTCTTAAACTCCCTAATGAAAAGAAAAAAAGAAACATGCTTTTTTAGCTACAATCCCTTTTTCTTGCCCTCTCCAAATTCCACTTTGGTGGGAGTCTCGTGCATTGGGTCACCTTGGAATCCCTCCATCATGGGGCTGCTCCAACCCTTCAAAAGACTTTGCCACTCTACTAATCTCACCCAAACACACAATTTTTTCCTTCGCAACACAATGCCCCCTCAAGGCTCACTCCCTTTCTGACCATCATGAATAACTGGACATTGAAATTTTTTAAGTTCTTTCCTTTCTAGATGTAAAATTCATTGATTTTTCCAGTTTAGTCTTCTCGAGACTTGTACAATCATTTGCCCCTTACATCTACCTTTCCATCAATGTCATCCAACTCATTCACCCTCTAAATCACTTCTACGATCTATGCTTTATTATTGAAGAGGGAAAACTACCCCACCTTACCAGAGATTTTGTTCACATTCTTAAGAAATAATCATCCATTAGCATCAAAATCAAACAAAAATTCAAGCTGACAAGAATCCTTCAATGCTCGACTCTCCCCTGTACTCATCCCGATTACTACTGACTCTACTCCAACCCCTGCAAACTTTTGTTGACCATCTCCCCCAAAGGCTCACTATCAATTACTTTCCTTTTTCCCTCCTAGCTTCAAACTGTAATGCTTCTAGAATTGCATGTCTGTGTGTAACATGGATGGACATTTATACACTTAGGCGCATGCACATACGCAAATATGTATTGTTAACAAAATTGCAGTAGCAACTCCAGGTTGATGATTTTTTTGGCTATATGCCAAATCTGATATGCATCATTTTCACACTCATTTCCCAGCTCAGAGCAGAGAGAGAGAGAGAGAGAGAGAGAGAGAATTCTTCAAGAGAAAGTGTTACCTGCAAGATATGGTGCTTGAGTTGTGGCAATAGTGTCTGTAGTTACTCCACTGACGAGGGGTCCCCCATATTGCAGAACATGACGACCTGGTGTCACATAGCCCTGAATGGTTGGATACCCATGGTTGCCAGAGAGAGGATGACCCATTTGTCCATATGGGACAATATTTGTGTTAACTGTGCCTGGTACGCCATATATTTGAAGGTAATGCTGACCCATGTGAGGATTGTAGACCCCCTGAAAAAATAGACAGAACACACCATGATTGTGCACATATTCCTTTCCAGAACCAACTGGAGTACCAAAATACCCAATAGCAGTTGAGATTTGAATTTACTGACCTGTGGGTAGGCATATTCAGGTCCAAAAGATGTGTACCTGCCAAAGGAAAGATTAATGCCTTGATGTCAAAGAGCACATCCATCAGTTTAGGTTGTAAATTGTAATGCAAGTGGAAGTCAGATGATCATGTAACTGAACACATGAAGCTCTGACATCATAAGAACAAGGTTTTTCTATCATACATATAACATAATAGCAGATGTTCCCATCATAAATGACAACAGATTAACAATCCATGTCTTGGAGTACAAGTCACAAAAGAAGATAATGGAGTCACCCCCTTTCTTTGACAAAAAGAATTAACAGGCTATAACATTATTGGATTCATTCTACCGATATGTATAGATATTGTTCATATAAGAAAAGTAAAGATTGACAGAATATTAAGCTACAAAGCAGACAGAAAATTAATGGACAAAAGGTGTTTGGAAAGTGGCTATTTTAGTTGGCTTTTTCCGAAAAGATGGGCAGAAAAATAAAGAGAGTGATGCGATTGGGAGTTCTAGCTTTTTGGCTATTTTAGCCAAAAAGCCACCACCCCAAACAGGAAATCTTTTCTCATAATAAAGATGTTTAGCACATGATCTACTAATACATTTCAGTTTTAGATAAGGATAAATTACACTTCAAACATAAATGGATAGTAATGCACTTCAAATAAGGATTTCACTAAAGAAAAACAATGTTAGTAGGTAAACTAACTAGACAACTTTGGCTTCTTATTTTGGTAATATCAATATACAGAAAATTTCTAAGCATAAATGGTTAGTCTAAATTTGCTTAATCAACTAAAAGTGAGCACTCAAAAAATCCACTGGACCTATAATGGTCTTCCAATTTCCAAGTACAACACAATTATACTTTGAAGAGTCGGAGTTGAATACACCAATTCAAAGATAATGAGGTGTCTGGACCACCTTAGCACCTGGAAAAAGGTCAATGGAAAAACATTGAATCAGATGGCTCTTTACAAATTTGGAATTGGAATATTTTACTCAACTCCAACAACCGTAGCTAAAAGTCACAAGCTGCAACTCAACTCTTGACCTTGGGATAACAATACAAGACCCACTGCTTGAAGGATCATTACTCACCCATATGGTGGATACGCAACCCCAGGTTGATAGCTGAAAGGGACTGGTTGGTGGATACTGGGGCTTCCAATGTATGCGCCCCTAGGCATCTGGTGTATTCCAAAATAGGGCATTGCTGATCGCAGGCGTCCTAAAATAAGGGAAAAAAAACATATATTGAAGCATGCGACGCACAAAAAACAGCATATCAAACCTGCAGTCTGTCACAGTGAAAGATTTTGAAGCAAAACTTGTAACTCTATACTTCTCTAATTTTTCCATGAGTAAAATCTTTTCGCTAAAACACATATACTTAATCTAGTATGGTTGTAGACAATCATTTCAATTGGAGTATTAAAAAAAAACAAAAAAAACAAACAAACTGCAGACTGGAGAAAATTATGATGTGCACGAATATGGCAGAAATAGCCATGAATTGGGATTGACATTACTATAGAACAATTGGGTATAATCGTCTGAGGTATTCTTTTATAACCAGATTATAGATGGGTCAAGCGATATTTTGGGCATAGAAGGACAAAATAGACATTAGAAACTAGTTCAAGGAAGAAATCGTTGAACCATGCCGTTAACTTCTACGGAAAGGTTGCATCATAGTAAAAAATATATGCATGATAAAACTTAATGAACTTCAATCAGCAAGTTGATGAGGTTTCGTTCTTCACGTCTATATATATATATATATGTACTCCATCTGTCCCAAATTATTAGTAAATTTCACTATTCCAGACTAAGAAGCATGGACACGGACACGGACATGGACATGAGACATGATGATTCAAATATAAACAAAAAATAATAAACACTCAACATCTAATACCCGATATGGGTATGGCGTGTTTTCCAAGGCCAAGATGCAAATGAAATAATCCTTTGTGGTTGGAGCTTGGGCAAGCATGTTGACTACAAATGCATAGAACAATCCCCATTTGGACATGACATAGCCTGCTTAATGATTAGCCCTAGATATAATGTCTTCCATAGAAAAATATCTATGCTAAAGGTGACCCAAAAGATTTGCATTCTCTTTTTGCCTACGAAACGAGTTTCTCCTCCCCCACCTTCCCCCCTTTTTAAGTGACATTAAATTAGATTGCATTTTGGGAGAATCTAGTTGTGAGGCAGTCCATAGCAATCTCTCTAGAGAAAGGAGCAAAGCTCCTCCAACAGCTTCCCATTGGACAATTGTCAACAGCAAGGGCTTCATTCTCTGAAATGTACTTGAGACAGCAGGCTTAGGTTTATTCATTAATGAATGTATAATTGTTGGAGTTTCTGCATCGTCTATATTATATGACCATAGCACATAGGTGTCGATCAGGTATGGTTTGAGAATTTTAATGTCAAACAAGGCTTACCATATGCCCAATCAAAATCAAAATAAGTGGCCTAAAAATGGCACATGTCCAAATGAACAATTACAAATTGGAAAAAAGGAGAAGTCTTAAAATTTTATACAATTCCAGTACAATATTTGATATTGTGCTTTTTCTTTCAATTTATCCCTTTGAATTGTATATTATGACTTAACGTTATTCTCCACCTATCAACTCTTCTTTCTTTTTTTTTTTAATAATTTAAAAATAAAAATAAAAAAAGTTTATACCCCAGAAACAAAATTAATATAACAGAATTTATAGTTCTTAAGTTGTCTGATTTTATCTACATATCTCTACTAGTATATGTACACCCATCCATCCATTATGCATAATATATCGAAGTATATTCATAATCTACAGAATAGTGTCGATAAACATTCAGACTAAATACCTAACACCAAATGAGAATAAATGTATGAAAAGTCAGCTAATTTAAAGATAAAGATAATACCATAAGGCAAAGCTGGTTGAGGCCGCCCAAGTGAAGCCAAATTACAATTTGCTCTCCTACCATCAATAACTGGATTTGGATCTACACATGCTTTCTTGGCAGATTCAGGATCACAAAATGTCACCTACCCTCCAAAGAAAAAAAAAAATACCAAATGGTAAATAAAGTGATCAATAAGAAGAAAGACAATAAATAAGGGAGAGGAAGGGGGGAGGGGGGGGTTTAAACATCTAACATGGGTCTTATTTAGCTAACACAGCCAAAAAAAAAAAAAATCATTGCAAGAGTGACCATTAATTCACCTAGAAAAACAAGAGATTACTTTCCAATACCAAATGCGGTTGCAATAAGTGAACCAAAAATGAGGTAACTTTTATTCCTACAAACAATTTTGGAACGCATTTAAGGTTTATGATTTCTTCTCCTAATTTATCTTTTTGCAAGGAAAATACATATGCACGAACACGAAGCCAACAGGCATCAAATGTTAGAGCAAAAAAAAAAAAAAAAAATGCCATAAGACATCTAAGGACAAAATGCTAATAGGATGTTGGTAATGCCATTAACATGTACAATTAATTCATGTGAAATAAGTTTCAAAATGAAAAAAGAAACCCAAGGTGACGCAAAACAGCTATTAAGAAATCCATTCAACTATCTAACTGATCTCAAAACTAGAATGTATGGAAAATTGATCTAAAGATCAAAAGTTTTAAGAAGAATTAAAAAAGAAAAGAAGAGCACAAGGGTCAAAACCCTAATCTCACAAAACGGCCACAACCATAACTCAATATTATTTCAGAAGATAATCTAAAACTATTCTGTAAAAGTGATATATATAGGCAACGTAGAAAACCCTAATCAAGGTTACCAAAAATAGAGCACTAACCTAATAAATCTCTAAATTAAATAAAACTTATAAATAAATAAAATTACAAAATCTTCAATTTTCTTTATCCAACGCCTTTCCATTCCCTGTCATTTCTCCTTGGCTGAAAAAGATTCTCCTCTGGAGAATAATGATAACAAAGATACTCCAGAAGCTGTAGAGCACTCTGCAAAAGCACTTCCTCAACCCAAATGGCATGTGAGCAATGAACTTCCTCAAGCCAAGTAACACTACAAGAAGTCTGCATGATGACAAAGTCGTATTGATAAGCAACAAACTAATCTCCACAAATTGGCCGAGTTGGAAAGAACATAAGACCTTGTGTTGGTGGGTAGAATATGGACTAATCCTGTAGAAGTACAAAAAGGCATAGCAAGAGGCTCCAATGTGCGCCAATAAGATAACATACCATCCAGTTTGAAATTTCGACCATTTGGTCCAGACACAAAAATGGTTCAAACATGTCCATGAAATGTCAATGTGCAATATGTGGTGAAGAAAGAACTTGAGACATAAGAGAAACAATGATCCCTTGACTACGAAAATAATCAATAAGATTTACAAGAGAACTTGCGATAGTACAAATAGAATCATTTAAAGAATCAACAGATCTAGGAGGGAATGATCAACAAGACTAAGTGAACCCTCTAAATTACGCAAAGACTTAGGATTGATGGACTCATGAGAAGCAACATCTAAAGTTGGACTATTGAGTGCCATATCAGGGAAAGTTGTTTGAGCCAAAGTAGTTTCCAAACAATAAGGCTTGACATTTAGACAAAGGGCTACGATCACTTTTGGATTATTGAAACAAGCATAATCAACATGGAGATCATTCAAATAGTTATGATACTTACCAATAGATTTAGCGCTGATGATTGGATGAAGTGAACCACATATTTACCTAAGATTGACTCATTTTGGCTCAAAAGGAAAAAAAAAAATTGGATTATCTAGAATAAGAGAGGAAGACCCAAGAATTTCTTTTTCAAAGGAAGCCTCAAATTTACTAAGTTCTAGAGTGGAAGCTTTGCATTTAGATCCTCTTTCTTATACAGTAGGCTTATTTGGTCTCAACTTTATTTTCTGGTGAATATCCTTAAAAACAATAGGTATTCTCTCTAACAAAGTGAGGCATCTACATCATAAATTCAAGGATAGCCTAAGAAGGGCACATGAATTACATTCATGGGTAAGACATCACACATAATCTTGGCTGAATAACTACCCAACTGAATGGGCACCAGACAACACTCTGAAACAAGCAAAGATGTCTTATCTAGCCAAGCACCCTTATACGGCTTAAGATGAGGTTTTGACTTGAGCTTCAATCTAGCAATGGCGACATCACATTCGTGGAACTACCTCCATCAATAACAAGCTTACAAATTATATCTTCATCTTCGCACTTGATAAAAGTATGAAAGATACTTGGACATTGCCAAGCCTTGGTATCGGAAGGCCATTAATGTATTGCATCACATTAATGTAAGCATAAGGGTTTCCAACTGTTTCCTCAAGCTCCCCTAAGAGACTCATGGTATACACTTTGAATGGAATCGAATTTGAATAAATAATGGACCTCTTGCAAATTTTACAAACTTCCAATGAATAAGAATATTAAAACAATTTTCTAATGGAAGTGTAGCAATTCCTTTTCTTTTCTTTTTTCTTTATGAACTGGCTAGTTGGTATTGGTTTGGTTTATATCGAAGTGTAGGTTAGGTTAGTTACAGACGACTGGAAATAATGGGAAGTGTGGGTGCTGGTGTTATGGGCTGAGTAGGTTGATGGCTTTGGTTGTTTGCTGGTTTTAGTTAAGGAAGCTGGGCTCTGGCTGATTTGGACTTAGGTCCAGATCTGGAATGGATTAATGCCAAGCTGCATTGGGAGATGGGCTGGTTTTAAGGGAGTTTGGGCTTGCAGATTTAGGGGCTGGGGCTAGGGATAGCAGAGTATAGATGATTGGACTAAAATAAGGGATTGGGCTAAGGATTGATTTTATTTTATTTTATTTGAAGTGGGCTAGAAGTGGGTTTTTTATTTTGGGCTGGTTAAAATAACCTAATAAGGGGTTGGATTGGGTATTTTTTTAATCTTTTTAGTGAAAATGATATAATACAACTTCTAAGAGTATTTAAGTATAAAAATAATCCATACTTATCCCGTTAGACCTAACATGTTCTTAATCTTTTTTTCTTTTCTTTACTTTTATTTTTCCCTTCTAAAATGTCATAATATATCTTCTAAAAATGCCTATATATTATTTATTGTATTTTAGTAAAATAAGTAAGGTTCAATATTTAATGGGTTAGATTAGTCAGACCCATGATTCCACAAATTTGTTTAAGAGAAAAAACTTATTTTGAACATAATCATACGACGCCCCTTTTAATGTATTTTAGGTTTTAAAATAAAAAAATTCACTTAATTCTTTCTTCTTGTCAACATTTATATAGGGTTTTTAGGTCTATTCTTTGTATGTTAAGAGAGATTATATTATAGTTATTGAATAATTTTATTGTTTGTGGGATTTGGACTCACATCTGCTGATATAAATCCAATGTTTTCCCAATTAGATGTGGGTTCAATTTTATAACATTTGTGAAAACCAATTTGTTTCATTCTTTTTCATATATGCGATTATTTAACATCATTTTTTATTTATTTATTTATAATTTACATTGAATCTTAACGATTCTCGATTCAATTCACGATTTGACAACTATGGTCAAAACCCTAATATCACAAAACAACCACAGCTGTAACCCAATATTATTACTTCAAAAGCTAATCTAAAACTACTACATTGAAGCCATATATATATATAGGGAACGTAGAAAACCCTAATTAAGGTTACCAAAAAGAGAACACTACCTAATAATCTCTAACTTAACAAAAAAAAAAAACTTATGAATAAATAAAATTACAAAATCTTTATCCTACGCCTTTCCATTCCCACTCACTAGGCCATGTTTGGTTATCATTTTCACATTTTTTGTTTTCATTTTTCGTGCTTTAGGAAACATCAATCCTTTTCATATCATTTTCACCTTTTAGTGAAAAAAATTTTGTTTTTGAAAATTCATAAAACAATTTAGAAGTGTTTCCTAAAAGGGATATTTTCAGGAAAAAAAAAATCTCAATACAATTTTCTGAAATAGTTTGGCCCTGTTAGATAATCACTTATAAGTTAGCTTTTAGGTTGGTAGTTTTTTAAATTATTTTTTTGACCAGCAACAACAAAGATTTTAAGGCTCAAAGCCAAAAAGAAGTGAGGATAAGGCATCCTCTACATAGAAGAAAAAACAGTGAAAAGAAACAAAACCTAAAAAAAACAGCCACAGCACAGAAAAAACACTCAATGACACTACATATTTCAAACTGACACCTAATCCGCTGCAATAAAAAAAAGTGGAATCCCTTGGAACATTGGATTCGCTGAGGCCCAAAAAGATGCCAAGTATCTCACTCTTTCTCATAAAAAAATCTACACCACAAGAAACTTCTTCGAAGACACGCCTATTTCTTTCCAACCAAATGACCTAAAAAATTGCAAAGACAACACACATCTCCAACTCACTTTAGCCCTCTTCAACCTTCCCAATACATGAAAATCGAATAAAATCATTTGAGCACTTCCTTTTGGGTCACCCACATCACATTTCCCAAACCAAACACCTTATGCCACAAACACCCAGCCATTGAACAGTGGAAAAATAGATGATCCAGAGATTCTCCATTCTTACAACATAATGCACCATTGAGGATTAAGATAACGAGAAGGTCTCCTCTTTTGCAATAAATCATTTGTCAAAGTGTTCCCATGAACCAAGATCCACATGAACACCTTCACCTTAAGAGGAGCACATGCCTCCCAAATCTTTTTATGAAATAGAAATTGAGGTACATGAGGTTTGTCAATGATTTTGTCAAAAAAATTACAAGTAAAGGAACCCGATGAATGAATATCCCAAACCCAACGATCCTCCAAATTTGAAAAAAATAGACGTTTTCAAGCCTTGACAATAGAGATACCAATTCCCAAACTTCCCTATCATGAAGATTCCTGAGAAAATTAAAATTCTAGGAAAAAGGAGCCAACGAAAAGTAAGCCATGGACGCAATAAAACAACTATGAGATTGAGAAACTCTATACAAAAGTGGAAAAGACACAGCAAAGGAAGAAGAACCTACCCAAACATCCTTCCAAAATTTGGCCATTTCCCCATTGACCCTTACAGAAATGAATCGAGACTAGATTCGATAAATATGAGAAATTGACTTCCAAGAAGCATGACCATTACCCCCAGTGACCACCTAAGAGTCCCTACCATTAACATAAGTCCCATATTTACTTCTAATAACCGCATGCCATAATGAGCCATGCTCAATTAGGAATCTCCATAACCACTTGCCCAGTAGAGCCATGTTTCTAGCCACAATATTACTAATAGCCAAACCCCCCTTCTCCTTAGGTAAGGAAACCGTCTCCCATTTCAACAAATGATCCTTTTTGCCCTCATTCTTCCCTTTCCAAAGAAAATCCCGCATCAGCTTTTCTAAGGATTTTTCCACCTTGACTGGAATCTTAAACAAAGGCAAGAAATAAATTAGAATTCCACTTAGAACTATCTTAACCAAAGTATATCTACCCTCTCGAGAAAGTAAAGCCTTACTTCACCCTTCTAACCTCTTACCTATCATCTCAACAATTGGATTCCAAAACACTTCACTTCTTGAGTTACCTCCTAATGGAAGTCCCAAATACTTCATTGGAAATGTCTCAATACCACACCCAAGTAGCGCAACCACTTGCTGAACCTGACTTGAATCTGCACAAATTCCCACTACACTATTTTTCTCTAGATTTACCCTAAGACCCAAGAGCACCCTAAAAAGCCTCACCACCGAAAAAAAGCTAACCATTTGACTGGCACCCCATAGAGAAGAAAATAGTATCATCTGCAAACTGTAAATGTGTCACGCTAATCCTATCTCTACTGACGTGTAAACCCTCAAACAGACCCGCCTCTTTAACCCTATCCACCATCCTTCCTAACACATCCACTACCAGAATGAAAAGAAAAGGAGACAAAGGATCCCCCTGCCTCAACCCTCGAGATGCTTTAAAACTCTTCCTTGGTTTACCATTGACTATCACCGACATATTGCAAGACGCCAAACACCCCCTAATCCATGACCTCCATCTCTCTCCATAACCTTTCCTATCCATCACAAAATCCAAAAACTGCTAATCTACATGTTCATACGCTTTCTCAAAATTTGCCTTAAAAACAAGGCCCACCTTCCTTGAACTCCTACACTCCTCCACCACCTCATTTGCCACCAGAACCACGTCTAAAATCTGTCTACCTTTCACAAAGGCCCCTTGTGTCTGAGAGACTGTAATCCCTAAAGAAGACCTCAACCTTTTTGACAACACCTTTCATAAAATCTTATACAGTGATGTAACCAAACTAATGGGTCTAAAATCTCCAATTCTAATGGCTCTCTGCTTCTTAGGAATTAAACAGATGAAAATGGTATTTGAACATAAATTAACCACTCCCATCTCATGAAACTCCATGAAAACTCTTACCAAATCCCCTTTCACAACCTCCACTCTTGAAAGACAGCAATGGAAAATCCATCCGGACCTAGAGCTTTATCCTTTTCACACTAAAAAACTACATTTCTAATCTCCATTTCCTCAAAAGGTCTTTCTAACCAAGTCACACTTTCCTACTCAATAGGCCCCCACTCAAGTCCATCTATCCCTGGTCGGACTATCTCATCCTTCGAAAACAGCTTTGAATAAAAGTCAAAAATCCCTTGGACTATTTGCTCTTCCTTGTCCACCACTACGCCTAGCCTTACTTCCAACCGCTTAATAAACTTCTTCTTCCTTTTCCCATCTGGAATCCTATGAAAAAACTTTGAACTAACATCCCCCTCCTTTAGCCACTTCACCTTTGCCTTTTGTGCCCAAAAAATCAACTCCCTAAGAGTTTACTCTTCCAGCTTCAAACCTAGCCCCTTCCTCTATCTCTCCTCATTGACTCAACCACATCCCCTCGCATCTCCAAAGTGTCTAACTCCTCAATCGTACGCATAGCCTGAAGTTTTGATGACTCCAAAGCCCCAAAAACTTTCCTATTTCAACACTTTACATTCTCTTTAATCAACTTCAACTCTCATTAATCTAAAACCCTCCCACCCATGACATCTAGTATTATCCCACCACCCCGCAAAATTCTCTTTGAACGAATGATGTTTCAACCACATATTCTCAAATCCGAATGGAGCTGGTCCCCACCTCAAAGGACAACTCCCAATCATTATGGAACAATGATCAGATACCAATCTTGGCAGTGTCTCCTGTCTCACATTGGGAAAAACCCCCTCCCAACTCAAAGAAAATAAAAATCTATCTAATCTACAACAAACCCGATTTTCCTGGAGATTAGACCAAGTGAATCTGGCATTAAAAAGAGAAGGATCCACCAACTCGCACCCTCTAAAAACCCATAAAAATCCCTCATGCTTTTATTGATTCTATTCCCATTAAGCTTTTCTGAGACCTTCCTAACCACATTGAAATCTCCCCATAAACACCAATTGGGAGAGCACAACCCATATAACTCCTCCCACCAATCCCTCCTCCTAGAAGGGCAATTTGGGCCATAAACCCTTGACAACCACTACTCACTATTACCTAGATTCCTAAACCTAATTGATAATGAGAATTCTCCGACTAATGTTTCACACTCAAACACAACCCTCTCATTCCAAATAATTAAAATACCTCCAAACCTTCCCACTGATGGTACAAAAGCCCACCTTCTATTCCTAGATCTCCAAATACTTTTAATAAAATTTCCATCACAAACTTCCACTTTAGTTTCTTGAAAGATGACAATATTAGGTTGATGTGTCCTCAAAAAATCCCTGATGACCCTTTTCTTCTTCCAGGAGCCCAAACCTCTCACATTCCAACTGACAATCTTCATTGAGAAACATCGTCACCCCTTATCTCCTCATGTCGCCTATCATAATTAATTGTGCTCGCCAAATTTCTTAACTCCCTTGCCCCCTTCTAACACTAGCCCTCCTCTTCTAGCACTCTTACCCCTTATGACCCTATTATCCTTACCACATAAACCAACCTTCCCATTAAATCTCACTAGCGAAAGCCCCATAACTTGAAGCAAATGCGTGAAATGAGGCACTTCATTTTCCTCAATTGGACATGACGCATACTTGCTTAATTCCACCAACCAATGCTTTGTTTCTGCCTTACTATCCCTTAAACCACTAAAAACACAGCCCCCTCTCTTCATATGATTAACAGAAACACCCTCTTGAAAATCATTCATTAGACCTTCAGTATTATCAAACATTATAGGACACATGATTAATTATAAAAGCACCCATCATGGCCCTTGAGTTATCTGGAATAGCTCCTTGGTCATCAATTCTACGTACAGGACCCTCAAGACCAAGACACTGAGAACCCCCAAATTGTAGCCTTTTAAATTATTAGCATAAAAAATATAAAATAAATTACTATAAATTTGTACAGCGCAACTTTTGATAATTTGTAAAAAGGAACTTGTTTGATTAAATTCGTTGGTGCATAGTTTTTTTGTTGTACAACTATCTATAATACACTCAAAAAAACTTCTTACATTAGTAACTAAGATAAAAGAGAAGAAATTCTTTTCTCCATACGTATTTAGAAGCTTTAAAGAAGCAAATAAGTCTGCAAATTATAGCTTAAGAAAATTTCACTTTCTTTGGTCAAATAAATTGAAAAAGATCAAAAATTACAACTAAACACCATTAATCAATTTTTTTTAAACAAATAAGATATATAAGTTGTCTTATAATTGCTACCAAACGAGGCATGTGTCAAGATAAATTTTCCGTACCAATTTTCTCATTCTCAGTTATCAATACCAAAAAAAAAAAAATACAAAGACAATATCAAATGCACTCTGGCTGTTTTTGGTTGGAGGATTTGATGAAGGAAATGAAAAAGGAAAGGGAAATAGAAAGAATTGATACGATTCAAATTTCAAGCTACGTTTGGTTAAGTTGGGAAATGGAGAAAGGAAAGAGCCTAAGTGAACCCAAGACAAAAAATGTGATTGCATTTCCCTTCCACTTTCTTTTCTTTGTATTTTCCATTATAACCAAACAAAAAGTGAGATTGCATTTCCTTTTCCCTTTCAATTTCTCTCATCAAATCCTCCAACCAAACACAGCCTTCATCTTCCGATTAATGAATAGAAAAGTGTTCTGCATTTTAAACAACCTAATGAAATAGAAAATTTCTATACATGCTTGCAATTTATCTTTTGAACAAGTGTTCTGCATTTAAAACAAGATAATGAAATCTAACTTTAACCTAACAATCCATCTACACAACCTTATCAGAAAAATTCCACTTTCCAAAGCCACCTAACATACTGGGAATCTAATCAACATTAGGGGGTTGTTTGGGGAGTGAATTTTTGGCTAAAATAGTCAAAAGGTTAAACCAAGTTACCACATCTCTCTAAAATAACCAATTTCCAAACTAGCTCTTTATATGTTTATAAATTTCAAAATAATTGACAAACATAAATATGTATCTAAAACAATAGTAACACATGAACCAGTCAAAGATCACAACCCAATAACACTGATAAGAACAATAATTCAATATATCAAATTGCAGACAATTCAGAGGAAAATACTCACAAAACCATAACCTTTGGATCGCCCAGTATGCTTATCGGTGATGACAACCGCCTCTAGAATCTGGCCATACTGCTCAAAGTGACGACGCAGAGTCTCGCTCTGTGTCTCCCATGCCAGACCTCCCACAAACACCTTGGTATACGTAGTGTCCCCAAAAGGGTAATTCAAAAATTGCAAGCCAGACCCAGTTCCAGGAATCGATTGATAAGCCATGAAAATGAATTCCAAACAACTATATATATATATGTATGTGTACAAACCCAATTCAGAAGGAGCTAATTTTGGAGGAAAAAAGGACGGGGACGACCGTTATCGACCCCTGAAAACAGGAAAAGGAGGGTGAAAAGCCCTGACAAAACCCTAAGAAGAGATTTTATATATTATTATACAGAAATATATGAGAGAGAGAGAGAGATGGGGTCAAAAGGGTGGTAGGTGTGAATCTGATGGAGTGGTGAGCTGGAAACACGATGACATTGACATGGGTCTTCGGGGGAAAAGCTGCGCTATAGTTGAGCTGTATATATTTCAAGGAATCTTCCAGAGAGAGAGAGAGAGAGATGGAAAAGGGTTGACATAAATTTTCGCCCCATAGTGTCCTGGTATATTCATCTCTACCCCTTTTTTACAAATTCTTACATCAATGCCCCCTACCTAACATATTTTATTTAGGAAAATGAGCCGTAGCTCGAATATATTGGCTCGAAAGTCCTCGCCTCTCTCGCCTCTTTTTTTTCTTCTTTTTTTCTCTTTTCCTTTTCTTGTTTTTCAATACAGACAGAGGAGAAAGAGGGAGAGAAGAGAGTAAGAAGAGAGGAGAAAGAAGAGGGGAAGAGGGAATGGAGAGAAGAGAGGGCCCTTGCGCTTCCGTCGTCGGCCGATCGTCGCAGCTCGTAGCTCGTCCCTCGTCGCAGCTCCTCCGCCGTCGCATTCGCCTCCTCCGGCTCTGCCTCTTTCTTTTTCTTCTTCTTCATTCTCTTCTTCTTTTTCTTCTGGTTGATGTTGGCCCCTCCGCTTCTGGTTCTACTTCACATTCATCTTCAAAAAAACGAAAATAAATTTCCAAAACGGCATGGATTTGGATTCGAGCAAATTTCAAGCTTGACAATTTCGAGTAACGTAGCAGTTCCGTTTTATTTATTTTTATTGTTTTGTTGCTATTTCACATGCATAAGTATGAAGTTATTTTCGAGCGAAAAAATAAAAAATGTTATTTTGAAATTTAGGTTAAAGGATGAATCTTTAGTTTTTTTATAAAAAAATTAGAAAATTATATGATCCAAAAAAAATCAATAAGTCAATAAGTTGATTTTTAATCTAATTGCCAAAATAGATCTTATATCATATCACTTTTAGTTGTAATATTCAACCTACATTATGACTGTAGGACAATCTTCACTGTATTTAAAAGATTTAATTCTATTGTGTACACAACAACAAATAGAATTTAAAGAAATAAAGAAAATGAGAGAATTTGTTTGATTACAAAAATCAAACTCGAAATAAAAATAAATAAATAAAAACAGATTTTATTTTGTTACAAAAACAAAATTAAAATCTGAATAAATAAACAAATAAAAACAACACTGAAAGTAATTAAATAACTTACTTGATTTAATTTCTTCGAATTATTTTTCTGATCAAGTCCAGTGTTTAACACTGTGTCCTTAAGACAGATTCGTCCTCTCCACGGTACTTTCAGAATTCGGACGTCTATCTCCCAGGATGAAATGATCTACCACAAACAATAGCAGCACTACTAACTGTTTGCCTTACGAACACACTAAGTGTTTACACTCTTTCTTTCGGAAATAAAATGCAGCAAGATGAAGAATATAAATAGCAGAAGTGAAATACGAAATTTCTGAATGCAAAACATCAAATGAGGGTGGTCCTATTTATAGATGTGAAGGTGGCTCTTGATTACATTTCTATCTGTAAGTCATAGGTATGAAGGTAGTGTTGGCCATGGTTTAGAGATAGAGAAGTCGTAGTGGTTTTCCGTTAGGGTATAGCGGTTTCCGGTAAGAGATTTGTGGTTTTCCGATGGGGGAGTGTGAGGGTAGAAGGAGAAATAGAGATAGAGAGAGATTGAGTTGAAAGCGAAAATATTTCAACTGCCATCATCTGATGATCCTAGTATTGTTCTCTCTCTACACCGCTATCGTCTTCTTCATTAGAGCTTCTTCAGATTCTTCTTGCAACACTCATGATTATGAATTTGGAAATGGTTAATTTTTTCCTAAAGTTCGGTCTATTTTTTAGGTAGGCCCCGAGTGTCGATTTACTCGGGTCAAAGTGGTAACGCGTTTTATGCCGCGTTGTGATTCACGTGGTATATTTGGTTGCTCAAAACCATTACCGAGTGAATGGGAAATTGAAGCCAAAGTGTGCTCCATGGAAATGGAGTTTTGGTGGAAATTCCTTAAGGTTGTAAATTGGCTTGTCCCCCATTGATTTGGTGGGGGGGTTTGAAAGGGGTTTTAAGGCTTAGGGTGAGATACTTGGGGTGTGCCCCAAGGGGTACCCAAGTGTTTTAGAGGGAGAGGTTATGGGCAAAATGGGCTAGACCCATTGGACCAAAAAAAAAAAATCACCACACACGCGTGCTGCCGCCGCCGTCCGTCCGGTCGGGCGGGCTGGACTGGGCCTGGGCTTGGGCGCGGGTGCGTGGTGTGTGGCTTCTAATCTTTTTGGGCCAAAAACATTTGAATTTAATTTAATTTTTTATTAAAAATAAAATCCAGAATTCAAATTAAATTGGTTTGGATTTTTTGTTCATCCAAACAGGGCCCTTCCCGGTTTCAAACAGAAATAAACTGTTTTGGAATTAATGCACACCCAAACAGGGCCCTTCCCGTAATTGCTATCTGTTTGAATTGTTGAATCTGTTTGAATTCAAAACCCAACAGGTATCATACCTATTCAATTCAAAACCAAGAGCCACATACCTGTTCAATTCAAAACCAACCGCCACCTTCACATCTATAAATAGGACCACCCTCATTTGATGTTTTGATTCAGAAATTTCGTATTTCACTTCTGCTAATTATATTCTTCATCTTGCTGCATTTTTTTTTTCGTTCGTAAGGCAAACAGTTAGTAGTGCTGCTATTGTTTGTGGTAAATCATTTCATCCTGGGAGATAGACGTCCGAATTCTGAAAGCACCGTGGAGAGGATGAATCTGTCTTAAGGACACAGTGTTAAATACTGGACTTGATCAGAAAAATAATTCGAAGAAATTAAATCAAGTAAGTTATTTAATTACTTTCAGTGTTGTTTTTATTTGTTTATTTATTCAGATTTTAATTTTGTTTTTGTAACAAAATAAAATCTGTTTATTTATTTATTTATTTTTATTTCGAGTTTGATTTTTGTAATCAAACAAATTCTCTCATTTTCTCTATTTCTTTTATTCTTGTTGTTGTTTTGTACACAACAGAATTAAATATTTTTAAATACAGTGAAGATTGTCCTACAATGACTTCATTCGTTAATTCCACGTCACAACTTGAAAAAAGTATAAGAAAGTTTAGTTGTAAAATGATATTTATGTCTTGTTTAATAATTTTTAATTTTAATTTTAATCCAAAAGTGATTATAAATTATTATATCACTCTTTTTACTTTTCTGTATATCTTTTTATAAAAAATCAAAAAATTATTAAAATAATTTAATTTCAAACGAGATATTTTACTAATTAGATTAGAACGCAACTTTATCTTTTTATAGATTCAAATCTAAAGCCTCATTCCTTTTTATGACTACTTAAGCAACTATTAGCGATCAATATAGGGTATAATTTATTATTAAAAAATATATTATTTAGATAATTAAATAGGTATTCAGGTTAGATGTTTAGCTCTAAACTTTTTGGACAATAGGCCAAGCTTTATTCTTTTAAAGCCAAAAGGATAATTATAATCTAGAAAACTATTTTGTCTCTACCCATTTTGTTTCTCTCTCAATTATTCACCTAACTATATCCATTAGTTATTTAAATATTTATCTATGTGTCATTTATCTATCAATATCATTATTACCACAGCCACCACTATTGTCGTTGTTAGTCATTGCTGATGAACTTTCAAACGATGGTTCAATACTGTGGATACAATTGAAAAGAAAATTCAAAAAAATAATTTATTATTTTCACCAAATAATTTCATTAAAATATCATTATCACTAAAAAAGATCAAATTTTGGATCAAATAACATGTAAGCTTATGGGTATAAACCTTTCATCAATTATTCTTAGTAAAATAGAGAAATAAAAGAGTAGCAAGTACAAAAAGAGCTATTTCGGTTCATTTTAAAAACTTGCATGGGTTGGGTAGCTGGGTCTAGCCCATAACATAAGATGGAATAGATAAGTAGAGGCTAATAAGTTGTGCAAGCCCATCATATTGAAAAAAGATTGTACAAATTACCCACGAGTCTTTTTTGAAAAGTGTATTATATTTAATCTCAAAACTTTTTAGATAGACTTAAAAGTCCTATACTCATTTATCTTTTCTTCTTTCCCTCTACACATTGCTTCTTCGCTTTTTTTTTTCTCTTTCACTGATATCAGTGATGATGAGGATGACCACAACGACTACCACTCCTTTATTATTTTATTCCTTTTTCTAATCGACGGTCACCGACGACCGGCAACAGCCATTGATTGAGGTTCACGGGCAACCACCAAGTACCAACTCCTTACTTCGTGCTCACTAACGGCGAAAAAAATGAGTTTTCGATGAAAAATACGAGTATACGTTAGATTCGATTAAATCCAAAAAAAAATAAAATTTCTGAGTACAAATATCTTTCTATATCTGCTTCTTTTCTTCAATCGCTCAATATTAATACTTTTTCTGTACTGCACACTTCTATTTTCCTATTATAATAGAGAAAATTTTAAAATTCTGAACAAATTGTCTTTGAGTTTTAATTACAGGCGGTGAAAACTGTAAAATTTTACAGTTTCAGTTTTTTTTGGTACAGAAATGAATTATTCTTTAGATCTGTAAAATTTAGCAGGTTCATAACTTTCTTTAGAACTATAAAATTTGACAATTTCATAGCATGTTTTTCAATTTGATTAATATTAGAAATTATTTGCTTAAACTCTACCAAAATTGAAAATAATATACATTTTTTTTCCATTATTGTTGTTACATTTTGTTATTTTTTTGTTCACTTTAATTTCTCAGTTTATTTTTCTTTATTTTTTCGGCAATATTATAGACATTCCGGTGAGTCTCCGACGATATTCTTAACGTTCAGTGAACATTTTAGACATTCCAACGACTTTCGGTGACGTTTAGAACACTCTAGTGATACTCTGGTGAATTTATGATGATATTCCGGCGAATTTCTGATGATATTCCAGCAACTTCTTGGTGATATTAAACATTGTGGCGAGTCTCTGATGATCGTCTGACGGAAATCCGGTGGTGATGAAATGTAGCAGTGTCTTTATTTTTTTTGTTTTTTAAAAAAATAGGATTTTTGGTAACAA